AACCCCTAAACTTCAAACCCTAAACCCAACATCCAAAAGCCTAAATCCTAAACCCTACTGAGCATCATGTCCTGAAGTTACCTGCGAAGTCGACCTCTGACAGTACTTGGAGGGTCGGGGGAATTAGTAAGTAGGTAGTCAGTAGACTTATAAGTACCCTAAAAGGGACCCTAATTGGGGTCATGGTACTTATAAGTCCCTAAAAGAACTACTTACTAAGTCCCCCGACCCTCCAAGTAGCTGGGCTCAAGTTTGCTTGCGGCACATCCTAAGCTCGGGCAGCTCGGACCACTCCTGGGCCTTGGGCTTGAATATTTAACTATGCTATTCCTTAGGGTTCCTCTTAAAAGGGTTCCTTAAAGGGGTCCGTAATAGGGATCCATAGTAGGGTTTTCTGGTTTGGGGGCTTTAATACCTATAGTAGTAGAGTAGGTAACCTTTAACCTTTTTTTTGTAGTATAGTCGCAATATAATCCCCATATAGCCAAAAAGGTTGACCTTTAGTTCCCATGATACCCGACAAGTAGGGTAAAGGGCCTGAGTACAAAGCAGGGAGAACGAGAGGAGAGCAAAACAAAAAGTACCCCAAAGCCATCGATTTCCTTACCTTTGGTTAGTAGGGAATGGAAGAATGGTACTAATAGTAGTTATAATTGTACCCCATTCCTTCATTCCCACTAACCTAAGGTAAAGATCCCTTTAAAGGAACCCTAAACCCCTATAGATCCCTTTAAAGGGAACCCTACCATTCCCTACTAACCAAAGGTAAGTTTCCCAAGGCCTTCTGCAGCAACAGCGCCGAGGTAGGGGCTGAACCTCTGCTCGAGTTTGGGATGACTCGGTGTTCTTGAGGGGTTATGTACGGTTATGTAGGGTGAGGGTATCTTCGGATTGAGAATTTCAAACGGGGGGTTAGCCTTAAGCCCTTAGGCCATAGAGCTATCAAGATGATCGGAGATTTGTTGCTGTTTGAGGTTTCTTTCATGTCTGTTTGTTAAACGATCTTCGAAGGTACCGTGAAGCTCCAGCCCCCCATCACACCCAAAATTCTGGATGTTTTAGGCCCTAAACTTTCAACCCTAAACTCATCGTATTTCAGCGTTTCGGATGTTACAAAGTTCTCACTGAGTCGGAGTTGCATTGATGCAGCGCTTTTCGGGTGCAAGGTCTTCGCCCAGGGGGACGGGTTTAGAAAGGTTCTGTTTAATATAGGGGCCTCAATAACTACCAATACGATTCTGGGGGTTCCCTATTATAAGCTTATAAGTATAGTATAATGGGTCGCCAAACCCTATAACAATGATTAAGGCCCCTATATTAGGTGGTTCAGCTTTGGGGTCGAGGGGTTAAGGGTTCGCTCCTAAACCCAAAATCCTAGACAGAACTTTCGCATTTCCACCTCGTAGTAGAGTAAGTAACCTTTAACCTTTTTTGGGGTGGTCTACACAAGCCCCTATATAACCCCTATATAACCAATCAAGGTTAACCTTTAGTTCCCCACGCTACCCGACAAATAATATAGGGGCCTTAATAATTACCTATACTATCTTGGGGGTCCTTCTGAGAACTATAGTGAAATGGGCCCCCCCCAAGACCTTATTCTGGCTCAAGATCGGCCTGGCCTCCACGAGACTTGAGCTGTTAGCTGTCGTCGTAGTATCTTCTTTCTACTTTGCTAGATAGGAGAGCATGGCGGCAGACTACGAACATGGCCGAAATCTTCTGCATTGCTTAGCGATGCTTCTAGTTGCCATCTGGTGTGGGATTACCTACACAGGAGCGCGCATCACAGACAAGCCAATCAGCTGTGCGATTACGCACACTGGGCATTGGCCGTACCAGTATCAGCATCTCGAAAATCGCGAATACCAAGAGCACATTGGCAACAACTTTGTGCAACCCTTCGCAGTGGATTATGCAGCCACCTCCATTTGCAGCGAATCGGAGACAAACCTGAATTGGTCTCTGATAGACCGACAAAATTTGCAGAACAACTACACAAAAAACAAACATTCAAGCCAACATTGAATGCAAAATTCGTTTGCAAAAACAGAAGAAAATACGTTGCCCATTGGAGGCGCATGCACAGATGCAACAAGTGAGTGCAACAACAACTGGACCTTGCCGAAACACTGCCCAACTGATGACCTGAGTGATGATGATCCTCCCCGCCTCCCCGCGTGCATAAAATATAGCTTCCAAGGACGATGCAGACGCATACGATGCTTGCGGCATTCATTGCACTGGTCTGTGTCGGTCTGGGTTTTTTCGCTTCGGGTTTCGGATTCTTTGGACCGGTTTCATTTTGCTATGGGATTCTCGTAGGCGCTTTTGAAGGTGTGTGCTGCGAGCTACTAACTCCCCCTGAAGCAAGCAAGCCTAAGAAACCCAAAAAGCAAAAGAGCAAACCTGACGACTTCGTGCGAAAGTTGGGGATTGAAATTACAGCTGTCGTCCCACAGAATAACATTTCTGTAGAATGCCAGCAAGTATTGGGAGATGGCAACTGCCTACGGAGAGCAGCAGCACGTTACCACAAATCAAAAGTGGTACAACTTGAAGAAGAGCACGCTACAGCATCTCGAAAACAAGGCCATGCAACATAACGAAAATCAGGTTCTTGAGCACATACGACAGCTTTCTAAGAAGAACGCTTGGGGTAATCTGTTAGCCTGGAATGGTGTAGCGTCGCTATTGCAACGAGACATCTGTGTGATGACAGACAAGGCTATGATCTGGATCCGGTCACCACAGTCCGCATGTAAAACGCTGCCTGTATGTTTGTCCCTGCATGCACAGTATTACAGCCCCTCACAACGAGTGAGTGCACTTAGATGCTTCAGGCATTGCATCAAAGATCCCCCGATGACCTTGCATGATTATGTAGAGGCTGAGCTCTACCTTCCCTGCAAGTGCGATCGCAAGATCAGGTTTGGTGACAGATCAAGTGGCATGCGAAACTTGAACATTTACAAATCCCTTAAGCGACAGGCTCAAGCTGCAATTCATTGCTGCTGTTTCACCATGAATGCTCCAAAGAAGCCGGCAAAAAAAGACCGGAAAGGCCTGGGGAAACAATGCAACAGCAGATCGAAAGGCTGGTCAAAGCAAAAGTGCCAAGGGAATCATTTGATCCTCCACCGGCGAAGTTCAGTGTACTAGAGGAGCCTCTTGGTCCCCCCGTGGCTTTAGAAGACCACCTGCACCGCCACAGCGACCTACGCGATCGCCTGACATTAACCTCAGTGTTGTGGCAAAGCGACCGCCTACACCTCCGATGCGCCCGAGCAGGAGCCCTGACATAGCAGATGATCCGGCCACTCCAGCGGCACCCGTGCCGAGGCCAGCAAGCTACCATAGGCTTCCGTCTCACCCAGAGGGAGCGTCTTCAGCGACTACATCTGTTTTCACGACCTCGCCTACATCAGGAAGGCCTTCAATGCCAAGCACCTCCGGAGAACACCCGTCAACAGGTGATGTGACGATGCCAGGTGTACGACTTGAGAGCAGTTGTATGTTCTAGAGGCACTAAGATCCAGGAAGGACGTTTCACCCCGGTGGCACCGGAAAAAAATATTCCGGACGGGACACCATTGTAAAAAGCTTGCACCATATCTCGGAAAGGGACCGAGATAGATCTTTGCAAAAAAACACAGGCGTAAATGGGCTCATAATCCAGCAAAATCTGAAGCAACCCGCTTTTGTAAAAGCGGTAGCTGAATTTGTGGCCCAAACCCTACGCTCCAAATCTGCTGTGCTTGTGTTTGAATGTGTCCAAGGACGTCATCGGTCTGTGTCGGCAACTGTCATTGCCACTGAGGCCGTAAAGATGATTATTCAGCCACAGGCAACCACAACTACCTCTCTTCTTTCTACTGGAAGGGCACCTGTGCTGGACAATGTGAAGACTGCAAAGCGGGACCAGAACCGGACTTCCAGAATTCAATCCTTCAGCTTGAAAATGATTACCGCATGCATCTTCTTGAGCCCGTCTGGGCGCCTGTCGAAATTTGTGCCTGCTGCAGTAAAGTATTGAACTTCTCTGACGAACCTCGTAACATCACTCGCAGATGTTACAGCGCCACTCAGTTTTCTGTACAGATAGTCGACAACTGGTCATTAAGATATGACTCTATGTTGCGAAATATTGAAGGCATATTGTCCAAGCTGGCCTAGCCTGCTGTAGCTCATAAGCAGCTACACATTCTACGGATGCACAAGTCATCTAAAGCTTTGTTGGCCTCAGACGTATGTCCGATCCTCCGCCCCAAAACCTTATTCTAATTATTGAGGCCCCTATATTAGGTCCAAAGTTCCACTCGCTAAGCTCATCTTTAGAGCGGTCTTCCGCCTTGTTGAGGTGTCCTCAACCCAGACCCGGGGAGGATCCAACAAGTAGATCCCTTAATGGCGGTTCCCATAAAGTACCCTTAGTAGTATATGGCCCCAAAATAGGGGATCTTTTTTCTAGACCCCTGGGAAAACAAGGATCCTTGCATGCTTCGCCATCAGCAGTTCAGGCTCCAGATGACGCAGGAAAGCTCTCAGAATCTGGCCATGAAGCATGTGACAAGCGATTGTGGGAGTTTAGCAGCCGAGTGTGAGGTTGAGGACTCAAGCGGCACGTGTCATGACCACACCCTGCCAAGGGCGTTTCAGTTTTTGAAAAGGTCGTGCTATATCTATCAAACCATCCAGCTTCATTGCTGAGCAAGCTCCGGACTTTGCAGAAAACACTAGGATCGCTCGAACAAGCCAAGACGACTCAAGACTGCTTGATGTAAAAGGCCGGTAGTATCCAACAAGTTGCTAGCTAGAGACCTTTGGGTATCTAGTGGGGTTTCTGTAGTAGTAGAAGTAGTAGAAGTAGTAGCGATAGTAGAGGTAGTAGAAGTAGTAGAAGTAATAGTAGTAGTAGTAGTAGTAAATGGCATATTGGGCTTATTCCTTGAGACTTCTGAGGGTAGCACTCGTGCCAACCCTATTCGTGAGCTCCGACCATGGAGTGTTCCTTTGCTACTAGCCGAAGAAGCCGCAGGAGGGGCCTGGCACTGCCGTGGCCTGCCTGCAGCCCTAAATGCAGCACCCAAACCTCCTTTTCTTTCTTCCATTCTATCTGCCTTTTTCTCCCTCTCTGCATCGAGTTTGCGAGGCAGCATACACTTCTCGCGCCTGCATCACAGTCTGCTTTTCGTGCTAAGCCGGCGCAGGCCTAAATACCAGAACTATACAGCAAAGGGTTGCTAAAAGCATTGCCAAAAGACTTTTAGGGCTAGAATATCAAAGGTTTTTATATTAATCCCGAACCCCATCGACTGCAACACTTGATCTCGCAGCTACATGCCCGAAGGCCCCAGAGCCTAGCCGTTTGGCATCGCGACGGAATGCTACAAGGTTTACCCAAACCCAAAACCCTAAACCGCAATCCCTCCTTTAACGCTGCATGTCCACCGGTAGCCACAAGAACCTGAAACCCGACACCTACCCCGCAAAACCTAAAGTTAGTCGTACCCAAAAAGCCCAATACCCCTTAATTAAGGAATATGTCTTAAATTGTATAGGGCTTCATATTATGATTTAAGTTATACTGCTTAAATAAGGGGTATTGGGCTCTTTGGGTAAGGCTTCAGAATGTCACAAATTATCAATGCCTAAAGCCCTAAGTTGCACCCTGTTGAGGCTCCCTAAACCCTACAGCAAAAAAGCCCGAAAGTCTTATAAGACCCCTGCAGAATCATGGAAGCTAGATACATCGCCATGAACCCCCTACACACCCCCTGAACCTTAGACCCTAAACTCTCTAGCCTTAAGCCCTAAACCCTATACCCCTCAACCCTGAGCCCTGCACCCTTAACCCTAACCCTCTAACCCCTTCACCCCTTAACCCTAAACCCTATACCCTATACCCTAAACCTTAAACCCTACACCCTTAACCCTGAATCCTACACCCCTAAACCCTTAGCCCTATACCCTTGTATCGGGCCAAGGCTGCTAGCCGCCCTCTGCTTTTATTTCGGCCCCTTTGCGTACGTCTCGCCCTCGCCCCTGCGACTCGGTCTTCAGAACGGGGTTTAGGGCCTTGAAGTTTCGGAGAGAAGGGCTTGCCCATTAAGGAATACCTAGGGTTCCTCTAAGGGATCTATAAGGGATCTATAGGGTTTAGGGTTTAAGGGGTTCTAATAACCCCTTAATTAAGGAATATGTCTTAGATTATATAGGGCTTCATATTATGATTTAAGTTATATTGCTTAAATAACGGGTATTGGGCTCTCTGTGTGGGGCTTGGGGTTTAGGAATCTGCATGTCTGAATGTGAGTGGTCGTCAAAATTAGGATCCCTTTTTGGGTCCCTCATATAATACGGCACTTATTATTTAGGGTACCCCGAAAGAGATCACAGTTTTGACAACCACCCATATGCATCTTCGGGAGTATGCATTTTCAAACATTGGAGAAGTATGCATATTGCAGCTTGGCCGAGGACAGGTGTCCTTACTCAGAACGCCTTTTATAACTTTAGGGCTTAGGGTTTAAGCTTGAGGGTTTTGGGGTTTATAGGGCTTGGGAAAAAAGGCCAAGGTTTTCTGGCTTTCGGGGCTTAGGGTTCTCGGTTTTGGAAGACCTGTAGGTGCCAAAAGCATGTCTTGAGAAGGTCTTCTTAGGGTAGAACGAGTGCCCGCATGTGATACCCAACGGGGGACGCGTCCTTTCGAAGCAGCTCCCGGCATAAGGCATAAGGATTCTGGTGAGGATTGTTTCGGACGTAGAGCTTACAGCAAGGGTTACAGTATTGGGTATCTAGTTTTTTGAAACACCTTCACGAGGAGGATTGTGTGCTGTAGCCCTGAACCCCAACCCGGAAAATGCCTAGCTGCTTAACCCTCAAAGCCCAAACGGTACCTCCGCTGCGCCACCGTCTGAGTTCTGCGTAGTCTCAGCGATCTAACCTTTAACTTCCTTAGTATAGGGGCTTGAATAATCACCCATACTAGTCTTTGTGGGTTCTTTATTACAAGTATGGCATAATGGGCCCAAGAGCTCTATTCAAGCTATTAAGGCCCCTATACCAAACCCCAACAATCCCCCTTGTAATATATATATATATATATGTATATATATATATATAATGCTTAAAGATCCCTTTGAAAGGACCCTATAGTATAATGCTTAAAGATCCCTTTCAAGGACCTTATAGTAATCCTTACAGGTCCCTTTAAAGGACCCCCCAGTAGCTATCCGAAGACCAGGCCGCGTCGTGCTGTGCTTCTAGCAGCAGCTTCTGCGCCTCTCGCGCCGCAGGTGGCCAACGCTTACGGGGGAGGAGTCATCGATGCTTGGCTACATAATTAGAGTAGGCTTCCTTTAAGGATTCCTTCAAAGGGGCCTACTAGGGCTACTATAAATGCTTTTTTTAAGCATTCAGTATAGGAGGCTTCAATAAATATAGAATAGGTTTTTGGGGGTTCAAGTATAGTATGATGTACCCCCCAAACCCCATTCTTATTACTACTAAGGCCCCACAGTAAGTTTGGGCTGTAGGGTCTGGTGTTTGGGGGGTTCGGGTCGCTTTACGTTCGATCCGCTTCAGAGCCGCATAAGACCAAAAATTTGTTTGCAGAGGACCGCCTCGCTCACTATGTTGTTCTTCAGGTGCATGTGGGAGTTTCCGAAAATTAGGGATACCTTTTTGGGGGGGTCCTTGTAATAAGGATCCTACTATTTAGGGTACTATTTTAGGGTCCCCCATTTTCGGAAACTCCCATGTTTTCTCACGAGATGAGGCCTTCGGGACCACAAGCCGCAAAACCTGAACCCTAAGCCGTGCGGTAGGGGTGCAGTCAACACCAACAAACATCGATACTCTCAAACACCAAACCCCTGCAAAATAACCAGGCGCGTGTTGCAGGGCATGTTCCTTTAGAAAAGTAGGTAATTACCAAGATCCGGGTAGGACACAGATTTGAAATGAAGATGCGCCAAACTCCACACCCTTAAACCTAAACCCTAAAACACCAGAGCCCTAAAACCCTCACTCTCTTCTTCAATAGCAGGGCTCGAAAAATCCAACTTTCTAAGGTTTTAACCTAAACTCTAGAACCTCTCCAAGCCAGGATCTTTTCTCTCTGACGATCAGGAAGAAGGCAAAGTGTTCCAACTGCAGTCATTCTGAGCCCTGGGTGTCTGAAAAGGCTCACGGTGTAGAGTTTAGGGTTTTGGGATCGGTGGGGGAGTCCGGTCCTTAAAAAGGTGATCCTTGTTCCAGGTCCCTGAGCTTGGTTGGCCCGGAGGGGTGCGCTCAAAGCTCTCAGGATTTCTGCAGGGTCCGCGTCTGGATTGATTCGTGTCGGCCGGTCCCATTTGCAAAAACGCGCAGGTGAACATTGCCAACCCAACGTTCAGGGTCTAGGGTTCACCTTGAACTGCAATCGCCCATGTCTTTTGTGGGGTTGTCCTGTCTTGTCACGTAGTAGGGGTTATGAATGGTTGCGGTAGTTGAGGGAAGGGTTAAGATCCAAGCAAAAGCAACAACTCTGAGCCTTTCCCGAAACTGTCGTTCCCTACCGTAAGCCTGTAACCCCGCGTCTCCGCTTAGCCCTTCAGCCCTATGCCGGGTCCATTTTCCTAGGTGCTTGCCAACGATCGTCAGCGGCTACAAAGAGCTATCGGAGAAAGGACCCCCCGGCTGGGCGAAGTCCGAAGCCAAGCGAGATGGGATCTAAGACCTGGTTGGATGTCGATGGGCTATTTTGCCAATGCGCTTGTGTGACTTTGACCACTGAGCTGACCACTATGATTCTATGATTGCGCGGGCCTGGCAACCATAACATACGTGTTCAACGTGATCTTGATCCTAAAACGATGAAATAAAATCTTGACTTACACCAACGCCCTCATATGAAGTACCCGTCCCTTGGGGTTGAAGCCTCGGGGGGCGTGGGCCCATCAGCCTAGAGCCTAAGCTCTATCGCTACGCAACCCCAAACCCCAAAACGATGGTAAGCTACAGTATAATCAGGATAGCCCAGAGTTTGTAACCACATCAAAGTACATCCTTTATCCCGTTATACGCACCACGGTACCTACAGCTTTGAATCAGTGTGATGTAGTGCAAGCCGTTTAGACTCAGGCCCTGAGGTTTAGGGCTTTTAGGTCTGGTGGTTTCAGTGTAGAAATTGGAGTTTCCAAAAATAGGGGACCCTAATATAGTAACCCCAAATAGTGGGATCCTTATTATAAGTACCCCAAAATATGGTACCCCTAATTTCCGGAAACTCCCAAATTTGATTGATTCATGCTCGAGGGCTTTTGGCGTGAATCCGGCTTGGGGTTGCTGGCCTGAAAACGTAAGCTGCAACATTCCTGAGCACCCAGCCTCAAGCCCTAAATCCTAAACTGGGGGCGCTTACCCCACGAACATGCAGGAGAGGTGACCGATGAGTTCATTGACACGAAGTTGACGAAGATGTGGAAGCTCATGCGGGAGTTTGGCGCCTCGACGGTGCGTCGGTGACTCTAGTCAGTAGTTACATCCCGTTGTAGTCGGTATGTATTCTTTTCTCAAACAGCGATATACCCCTCCAAGGTTCCCTTCCAATTCTCAGGGTTCAGGGGTTTGGGGTTTATTGTTGGTGTGGTAGGGTTGTTATTGCCACTTGCCGATCGAGCTGAAGGTTCTTGTCGTATCCGACTGCCCTGGCGTTACCTTTCTTATCCAAGCGTTTCTTGTACAGAGGTTGCAGTGTACGACAGTCAAGAGAATGATCGCAACGCTGTATATACATGTGGATTCTAGCCAAGAGTGGAATGACTTGTTTGCTTCCTAGGAGAAGCTCCCCGACCCACGGCGCGACCACAACTTGCAAGACCACCTGGGTAAACCCTACATCTCAAATACTGAATCCCAATCGCAACAGGAAGTTGCCCCCTCTCCAGCCCAGCAACTTTCACCTCGCTCTCAGAAGGGTGGTTGTCAAAATTATGGTTCATTTTGTGGTCCCTGATATAGTACGGCACCTAATCTTTAGGGCACCCACAAAGGGACCAAATTTTTGACAACCGCCAGAATCAAGGCCTTCATCTTGCTGCTGTGGTTGTTGATGGTTCATAGGAGGCCAAAAGGGGTTTTAGCCTTTGGGGGTTTAGTAAGGAATCCCTACCCCAAGAATCTTAAACCCCCCTTTTGGCCTCCCATCATTGGTGGTGGCGGTGTTTGGATGTCCAGGCTTCAATGAACTTCAAAGTATGGATTTGGAGTGTAGGGTTCAGGGTTTGGGGTTTATGGTTTTAGGGTTTATATCGGGTTTAGGATTTGGGGTTTAGGGTTTTAGGGTCTAGGTTTCTTACCCGACCCTCCTTCATGTGCTGCTTCAACCGAGCCGACGCGAATCGGGTCCAAGCAGACGAGTATGATCCGATCATGGAGAAGTTGAAGAAGGCCATTCGGAAGCTGGGAGGGATCGAGCATGTCGACCATGGTGATCGTGTGTTTCCGGCAAGGATGGGGTCCTAATAAGGGCGACCATTCTAGGTTTCCGGTCTTGTTTGTGGCGGAAGGGGTAGAGGTGCGGCAGCAGTGGTGTCAGTGGTAGTTGTGATAGCAGTGGTAGTAGGGGTAGGAATAGTGGCAGTGGTCGTCGTCGTCGTCGTAGTAGTAGTAGTAGTCGTAGTAGTAGTCGTAGTAGTAGTCGTAGTAGTCGTACTAGTCGTAGTAGTCGTAGTAGTCGTAGTAGTCGTAGTCGTCGTAGTCGTCGTAGTAGTAGTAGTAGTAGTAGTAGTAGAAGTAGTAGTAGTAGTAGTAGTAGTAGTAGTAGTAGTAGTAGTAGTAGTAGTAGTAGTAGTAGTCGTAGTAGTAATAGTAGTAGTAGTAGTATTAGTAGTAGTAGTAGTAGTAGTAGTAGTAGTAGTAGTAGTAGTAGTAGTAGTAGTAGTAGTAGTAGTAGTTGCAGAAGTAGGAGTAGGAGTAGCAGTAGGAGTAGGAGCAGTAGTAGTGATAGTACTGGTAGTGGTAGTAGTGGTAGTGGTGGTAGTAGTGGCAGTGATAGTGGTGTTGGTGGCCATCGCGGCTTTGGGTAGTTCTGGCGGTTGTGATGGTGGTGGTGGAAGTGGCAGGGGTGGGAGGAAGAGCAGCAGAAAAACCACCAAGCATCAGTCTCCTCGACAATAGTTAACATTCGTGCAGGAAATGATGCTTGGGTACCCATAACCCACGCAATGCCTACATACTAGGTACCTTGATCGTTCCAATAAACCCGAAGCACGACAAGCACTGGAAAACTCATACAACACCCTTATAGTATTGTAAGGACAGTATAGGCTAGTCCCGAACTGGCGTAGCTCCTTACCTGCGCGTATGCAAAGCACCTGCGCGAGGATGCGAATGTCTACAAAGACTTTGCTTTGACGCTCGTCAGCTGAGGGCTCTATAGGAGTTACAGAGTAGAGTTTAGGGTTCTTTAGGGCTCAGAGGGTACCTATATACTACCATCATGGAATCAGGTCCCAAAAGACTATCCTCATTCTGGTTTTTGGGACCTGCTTCCATCTTCGCAGTTTAGGTAGAGTTTGAAGGTAATGTGATGTAGGGCTTCACTCGCATTGATCGAGTTTTATGGGGCGTTGTGGGGTGTGATGGGACTTTACAGGGTTTTACAAGGTAGCCCGCTACACCCGAGAAAGTACCTTCCACCCAAACCCTCAATCCGGAAAGAACGCCACGCCCGAACCCTTAAACCGCAAGACAGCACCCTCACAAACGGTGCTTGCGCGAGCGGCGTTCAAGGGAGCCGCGGGACCGTAATGTTCCGACTGCGGGTACATGTCAGGTTGGTTTATGGTACAGGTGGGAAAACAGGGTCCCTATTTCGAGTTTTTGCAGGCTTTTAGGGTTTCAAGGTGTACGATGCTTCAAGAATCGGAGACTCAGCTAGGGGCTGTTGCTAGAGTCAAGGTACGGAACCTACAGCGTCAGGGATGGGTTTAGTATAGGGTCCGAATAAATGGTAATGATGTTTACCTGATAGTCCCAGTATTGATATACTACAACACACCCCTAAAGCGCATTCCATTTATTAAGGCCCTTATACTGCACTGTAGCGTCCATCTAGCTAGCTCAGAAATGGAACATTGCCTACCAAGACATCTGAAGTCCTAAACCATAAAGCTTGTGCTCGAGACTCAACACTACAGTTCCTGTTTCCTAGACTCGAAACCCCTAAACCCCTAAAACCCTAAACTCTAAACCTCTAAACCTCTAAACCCTAAACCCCTAAACCCCTAAACCCTAAACTCTCAACCTCTAAACTATAAACCCCAAAGCCTAAACCCTGAGCCTCTTGGCATCCTTCGGTTAAATCTGTGGCTCATTGCTTGGATCAGGGCATGTCAGGTACCCAGAGAGCCCAATACCCCTTAATTAAGGAATATGGCTTAAATTATATAGGGGTTAATATTATGATTTAAGCCATATTCCTTAGTGAAAGGTTATTGGGCTCTCTGGGTACCTGACCTCAGCCAGACTTCCGAAATAGACAGTTCTCGTAAAGTTTTGCGCCCTTCAACCATAGACCTTAGAAGCTGCCCTCACCCTGTAATAGTGACTATAAGGATCATAATAGGGCCATATTATATTCCTTTTATACCACTATTACAGGGTGGGGGCCCCTTTTAACATCGACCCAAATACGCACCAGGAAGCCCAAACCCTAAACTGCCCCAGGAACCCTAAACTCTAAACCCAAAACCCTAAACTGTCCCAGGAAGAAGGACTACAAAAGAACGATGAAGGCATTGGACAAGTACCGGCCCCCTGGTCTGGGTTTTAGGGTTTAGGGGTTTAGGGTTTGGGGTTACGACTTAGGGTTTAGGGTTTTGGGGCTCCTTTTAAGGCATCCTTGATCTACAGTAGGGTTTCAGGTTTTTGCGAACTTGATGCTGAGGTGTGCAAAGAACGGTTAGGGTTCAGGCGTAAAGGGGTTCAGCGTGTAGTGTTTAGGGGTACAGGGGCTGCGGCTTTAGGATTTTTTTTATTCTTCGGATGGAAACTGCCCTCAACTTTCAGTCGCTGCACCCTGCACAGCCCACAACTGAAAAGAGCATCAGCCAAAAGTGTGGTGCATGATCCCAGACGCTTGGGGCTTCGGGCTTGGTCGCCAAAATGACAAAACTCGGCACTCTATGCGGATCTTAAGCCGACGTATATTCTACTGAGCAAGGCTGGTGTCGATGTAACCAATCCCACAGACGTGAGCTCAAGGAGAAACCAACGGGAACGCGATCTCGCAGTAGTCGGAGATCCTAGTTAACACCAAAGGGTTTAGGGTTTAGGCAGTTTCGGGTTTCGGGTTTAGGGTTTAGGGGTTTAGGGTTCAGGGTTTGAAGAACTAAACCCCGAGTCCTGCACCGAATTCAACTCAATGCGCGTGGCTGCTTCTCCATGTAAGAAAAAGATTTTGCGAATCCATCCGATACACTCCTGATGTAGAAGCTTAAACCAAACAACACCATTCCTTTTAGTACATTGATGCTACGAAAACCCTGTTCTAGTTGTTAAGGTTCCTACATTACACATCCCTTGTGGTAACTGTGTTATAGACCCCTTTAAAAGGAGGCTGTTCGACCATCAAGGGCCCATACATTGCCCCTCTATCTCCGGCAAGCCCAGAGATTCAGCTCTCAGCCCTCAAGTGGGACCCTCCTGAAAAGGGAGCTCCAGTCAGTGAAAGATTCTTGTTGGACCCATCAAGCTTTAGGCTAAGGACACGCTTTTCTGAAAACATCCCGTATCGCCAAGGACGGACGTTCCATTCGGCAGCTTGTCCTATTGGGGTCTGGAGTTTAGGGTTTAGGGAGTTTGAGTATTCGGGTGTACGCAGGTTGCGGGAAAGATCCTATCGATCAGCTTGATCATCCGTCCGACCTCTCGTGTCGTTTCGGTATGAGGGTCAAGACCGCACATATCTAGGGTTTTAAACCGAAATGTCATCCAGAACTCCCGGTGTGTAGCAGGACCCAGACTTCTGAGTTTTCGGGGGTTTAGGGTTTAGGGTTTAGGGGTTTAGGGTTTAGGGTTTAGGGGTTTAGGGTTTAGGGTTTAGGGGGCATGGTGTGGCGGTGTTGGGGGGTGACGTTTGAGCCCGGGCTGGCGGTCTGTCAGCTAGAAGCTCTACAACCCAGAGCCTCCAAAACCCCTTAATTAAGGAATATGCCTTAAATCATATTAGGGCTCCTATTCTAGTTTAACGTATATTCCTTCATTAAGGGGTTTTGGAGTCTCTGGGAACACTCGGGTCTTTGGGGTTGCTGCTTCTTGCGGTAGTAGGGCACCCTAAACAGTAATATACTCGATATACCCAAACCCTGAAACAGCGTGATCCCAAACTCCAACTAATCTCGGAATCCCCCAACGAACCCCAAGCCCCAAACCCAAAGAACCCCAAGCCCTGTCTTGCCTGTTGGAGAGAGGCTGTCAATGGAAAGCTGCTGCTCGTGGCGGTCGTGGTAGCCTCCTCCGGCAGGATCTACGACTTCGTCCGGAGTGGCCCCCTGTCAGATGAGCTACGGGGCGAGGCCTCGTCTTTGTTCCAATCGGTGCGCCCCATTTCAGGTGCAAAGCTTCCGCTGAGCCAGGAGGATTCACCATTCCGTGGATGGGTCTCTGAGGACATGGCGGGGAAGGACTACTGCCAGTTCGCAGACCTCATGGACACATCCCTCGTTGGTGTGAATCTCAATGCTGAGCCGCTGAGGTTTGAAGACTCACACAAGCCGTGGCGAAGGGCGGCTTATGCCTGGCCGCAAGAGCACTCCGAGGAGGCCAGCGCCGAGGAGGAGCAAGCACTCGGGGATGATTCGGTTCGCCGCACCTGGGACTACTGGAAGGAGCTGCAGAGATCCTTTGCCAGGGAGGAGAACATGACCGAGTCGCAGAATGCCCGAGTCACGGACCAGTTACTCCTGCAAGGCGTCAGGGCCTGGCAGGTGCTGATGACAAGAATGCCGCGTGCTTCCTTGTCCAGGGCCAGCCGAATCTTCATCCAGGACCTGCAGCAGAAGGCTGTTGCCTGGGGCGAGAAAGCTGCGCAGCAGGAGTGGCTGCACAAAGACGACACTGGCCCAGACCAGATCTACAACTTTCCGGGAATCTTCCTCCACCGGAGAAGCAACCAGGTTTGGAGCACGGCGCAGTCGATCCTCGGCGAAGCGATGGCGAAAACCACAATCGAGAAGGACGCGAAACTCTCGGCTTCGCTCACGGAGGAAATATGGAACTGCGCCGCTGCACGCGCAGCCGCGCGCGCAGAAATGGATTATGAACGCAGCCTCTTCGAGGAACACGACGTGATCGTTTGGGAGCCGGCCAACCAGGCTGAAAGGCGAATGACGTTGGCCGAGATCATGGAGGACGAGGCATCTGCATCTGCGGCATCGGCAGCCGTCACCCCGCAAGCTGCATCGTTGGCACCCTCCAAAGCGTCTGTGCGTTCAGATCGACCTGGATCAGATGGGGGATCCGTGAAGGAAGCAATGAAGACCGAAGAATCGTCGTGCTCAGATGCTTCTCAAGGGTATGTGGTTCATTCTTCTGAAGCTCCACGACTCACCTCCAAAGGCGTTGGTCGATGTGCTGGTTGGACCGCTGGTGGAGTTTCGCAGGCCACAGGGCAAGGGGGTTAGACAGGGATTGCCCAGGGGCCGCATCGATTATTGACCAGTACAGGGACCGGCAATGGTGGCTTTGGGAGCAAAGCAAACCGCAGGAACAGAGGGTTCAACACCCCCGACACTATCCCCGACTTTCCAACTTGGAGAAGGATATGGATTCAGCAGTCCAGGGTCGGCAATGGCGAAGGGTTGCAAGGGATAGGGTTCTGTGGCAGCAGTGCAAAGGGAATTGGTTCACAAGCATGGACCTACCATGGGCAAGTGGCAGACAGACATGCATCAGGGTTTGATTGCCTGGGACGGTGGCTGGATGAAGGGTTGGCCTCTTGACAACTTGGATGTGCACAGCTCCTTGGCTGAAACCCGCCTGTAGTGAGCCTTCTTGTCGGCATCATGGGATGCCCCTCCATATGTTTCGCTCTATGGACAATGTTCCAGTGGACACCGGTCGCGGCCACGCCTCAAATGGTGGCGGCAGCGACAGATGCCTATGAAACGAAGCGCGGGATGCGCCCCGAGCCAGCCCAGATCTGGCAAGTCAAGGAAACCCGACAGGAGCCTCCTTTGATTCAGAAGACGCCTTTCCTTGAAGGCACGAAGGTGGTTCCGCCTCTAGAGCTCGAAGCGGAAGTGGAAACGACGGTTGGTACGTGGAACCTCGGAGGCCGAGGGATGGTGCACATGACTCCCCAGGAGGAGGATGATCTGACTTCATGGATGCAGACCGACATGAGCTCTGCAACGGCGACCACGCAAGAAGCTTGGCTCCAACTCCTCCGCACTCTGGCCCAACAACTGGAGAACATGGACAGACAGACGACGGGACCAGCAGCGGGGCAATTACTTAGGTGGCTGTCCCATAGAGCCACGGACAGAATGGCTACTTTCTGGGCCACATGTCAGGCCGCACGGCGGAAATTACGGCAGTCTTGGTGGCAATGAGGCAAGATGAAGATGAAGCATGCAGACTGCCCCGGGGACCCAAGCCTTTGACTGGACATTGCATGCATGGAAGCAAATCTGCCGCTTTGTCGAGGGGTCTTTGGAGGACCAGGGACAGCCGGTCCCAGATCACATGCCGGTGATCATGTTGTTCCCCAAGGAGCTCCCGGCGGATACGCCTGACTCGGCACTTGAGCTCAACGTGGAATCCGACAGTGAGCCGCCCAAAGCGAAGAGAAGGCTGCTTAGGGTGGAACTGAGCTCCGGGTCAGCAGATGGGCCGAGGACAGCGACGTCGCTCATGAGGAGGGCAGGGCTGAGATGCAGATGGCGGTGACAACCTTTGAGGAGGATGGCAGCCCCACACTTACAGCACCTGGAGGCGCAGTGGGTATGTGTCTGCCGGAACCTGCCCCCTTCAGCTTGGGAAGATGGGGACTATCTGCCAGGGAGTACGAAACACTTTGGCAGAGCTGGAGGACCGGATGCCTATCAGTGGCCGAGATAAGGAGGATTCATGGACCAGCAGTGGCCCAACATGCCGTGAGCCACTGGAGAAGTTTGCCGATGGAGAACTATCTACCGGAGGCCTCGACAAGCCCTCGCAGTGACCCAGCGGAACCAGAGGAAGAGAAAGATCATGCTACAGACGAACATGGGCTGCTACATACAGTGGTGGTGGCTTCTGCCACCAATGGCAGCATCGGCGCCGACGAGGCCAGGCGCACCGACAAACACAGTGGAGCAGGACTTCTTCGTGCTCGGACGCCGACTGGTGCGGTATATGGAGAACCAGGGGGCCGAGACAGCCCTCCTGGCGACGGTGCTCCAGATGCTTGCCTGGAACCGACATGACGAAGGATTCAGCATCATGCTTGAAACCTACATGTTGGACTTGGACCTGCCTATTGAGGCGGACTGCTCCAGGGAGGATGAGGTCGAACCACACCACAGGGACATTATCACGTGGTTTGAACAAGAGCTGAGGCTGGAGTACGTAGACCGCATGGAGGAGGAAGCAGGATGGGAAAGCGACGGTATCATGACGCTGAGAGGGCGATGTGAAGTGTCTGATGCTGATCGTCGGGTATGGAGGGAGTGGGCAGCGGCGGTCACGGCAGGACAGCGGGATGGGGCGCGCAGCCGCTGTCGCAGCCCCCGACGCCAGGGTGACACAACAAGCCTCAAAAAATATGTGAGGCTGGACGACCCCGTCCGAAAGCCAGATCGAGTGCAAGACCGTCAGAGGCTGAGGACAGCAGGAGCGAACGAGAACGGAGTAGGCATGGACGCAGTCGAGGATCGGAGGAGACAGGGGATGACACCAGGCCAGACATTCTCAGGAGGACGCCCGCTCGGTGTACAGAAGAGGTCCGCCGGCTGAACCCGGTTGGGAGACGAAGTCAACGGCATGTTTTTGAACATGACAGGCCAATGGATGTGAATGATGCCACCTTGTGGTGGCTCAGACTCCTTGGTCTCAGGAGTAGCACTGACAACAACATCCAAAGAGCCCTTCATCCAGATGGGCACGAGGAGAGACTACGGGAGATCAACGACATCCCCACGGGAGATCTCATGGTCTTAATGGTTGGCCTGCTGAGGGTGACGGCTCTTCTTTGGGTGGAGTGTTGCCAGTTGGTATACGCTCACCCTCACCTCAGCCCGGACGTGGAGGTGACGGTGGAAGAAGAGGACAATACGATGTGGATGCAGTTGCCGGGACTGACTACGGAACAGGCTGAAGGAGGGAGCCAGATGAGTTGGCACAGTCACTGGGACGGCACCACGACGGATGAGGAGAACAATGGCTTGCGAGACAAATGGGGATCCTCACAAGCATCGGCGAACTTGGGCGGGCGAGAAAGGAGTCACCATGGACAAAGCAACCGGGAGGAGGAGCACGACATGGATTGCCTGTTGCGGGATGAGCAGGAGTCGATGGAGAACCGCCGCCTGACAGAAGCCCAACAGTGCCAGAGGGATGTTGAGGAACAATGTCAGGCGGAGGAGGATGAGAGACAGTTCCGGGAGTTTGAGGCTGGTCGCTACAGAGACTGGGAAGAATGGGTGTGTCTCAATACACCGGTTGACACACCTCGTCGACTCAGGGTGCAGCTCCAAGCGGGTCAGGGGCCACATATGACGGAACTGGAGGGATCCATGTCAATGGCGAGAGGACAACCCCTGCGCTTGGGACTGTTGATCTCTGAAATTCAGGGTACACCTGCAGTGGAGTCACAGGAGAGGGACCTGGCTACAGGGAGCAATGTGAGGGCGACTACAGGGGTTCAGCTGCAGCCTCAACCGGAACCGGAACAGGTGAACCATAGGGAAGTGTATCGGCAGTGGAGAGCTGGGCACTTGTCAGACGACGAGGTGTTACAGAGGGTTGGAGAAGCTATGTACACGGTTTTTCTGGCCCGAAGTGAGGAGGATACCGAGGGAGAAGGGACACAAACGGACCAGGGTGCAGTGGTACAACAGCCGGCAGCATCAACAAGTTGCAAAAGGGGGCACTCGGAAGTCCACCCAGGAACACCGTACTACAACGTCAGTGACTGATGAGGGTTTCGAGCTAAGGAGGTATGCCAGGGACGTGCGCAGGAGAGCCCGTAAGCGGCTAACCATGCCTTCCCCCTGAGGGATTTTCGACGAGCGAACTGCCAGTTGGAAAAGACGCGCTAAAAAAAACCCTAAATCCTAAACTCCAAACCCTAAACCCTACACCCTAAACCCTAACCCCCAAACTCCAAACCCTACACCTTTTTTCGGCCTGCGACTCGAGGCCCTGGCGTCTTCAACTGGGATGACGACATGGACAAACTGATTCCTGAGTAGTTCGGCCGTTGGGGCTGGGTCGAGGGTTCATGAGCCCTGGTACCCCAGTGCAGATATGTCTGCTGCTCAGATCCATATATATATATATACATAATAAGTCAAAGCCAGCAGACAACCAATCATCTTACCATGAGTTTTACCCTACTTGTTATATACCAATCTTCTAGTAGTCATATCCAACCCACCTCCAGACCATGCAGTCTGCTATGCTGTTTGCCGCCCTATTCGCTGTAGTGTTAACGACACCAGGCCCATACCAGTGTATATAAATATAAATATAAATATACATATACATATAAATAAATATACATATATATATATATATATATATTTATACATATATGTGTATATGTATATATATATATATGTATGTATATATACATGTATGTATATATATATATACATACATACATACATACATATATATATATATATATACACATATTTGGGCTCTGCACTTTCAGGAAGGATTATTCAAAGAACTTCCTATTCTTTCTTACCCACAACCATCACCACCACTACGGCTACATTACTCCCGCTACTACTGCATGTGGACCCTGAACCTCCAGGTTCTCCAGATGCCAGACCCCTATTTCCGGTACTTGCAGGATCAGGGGACTGCTAAGTAGCTTGTAATTGTAGTTGGAAGTGCCCTTCCTGAAGTTGTCCTTTTTGAAACCTTGCTACAACTGCTACTCGGACTTCGGCTACTAGCTTGGGGCCATGCTTTTGCAAGAGCGGACTTGGGCCTAGCACTTCGAGTTGCACTTCGTTCCTAAGCGCCATGAGGTCTTGAGCCCTCGTCCCGCAACCCCAAGCCCTGATCCCAGAACGCAAAGACCCTTCGAGCATGGTTGCCACCCGCACGTGGAAGCGGAAAATGATTTGCCAACACCCACCTTCCGATTCACCCCGACCACGGCACCCGTCAACTCTAATCTCTGGACCTCGTAAACCCTAAACTTTACCCTAAATCCCGAAGCCCACTCCCTAAACACAAAGCCCAATGGCGAAAGCCGATCGAACCTTCTGTCGGGTTTAACTGGAGCTGAGGGAGAAGACAATAGCTGTGGGTTTACATAGGTGTCAGAGTCTTCAAGTAGCAAACCCGGAGCAATTCACGAAGGTGGGTGCTGTAGACACCCTGACCCTCAAAACCTGTCTCAGGGAACAAGTTCGTGGTTCTAGGGCTTCGGGGATTTAGATTTAGGGTGTAGGGCTTTGGGTTGAAACCCTGCCCGCTAAACGGCATTCCTCAAACCGAAATACATGCAAGCCCCTGCCCTTCACTACGAACGTTGCAATAACAGTTTTCGAAAGTAGCAGCTGGTCTCAGTATATTGTACTTGTACATTTAGATAGATAGTTTTGCAGAACGAACATTGGTCTTTTGTCGTCAGGGGCTTTCAGACCATCCCGGAAAAAACACACACATTACACACCCCTTGAGCCCTTAGCAATCTGGATCAAAACCCTACACCCCAGACTTCCTAAGCCTAAGCCTAAGCCTGGATCCAACGCAGAATGTGCAAGTGGCATACTTGGAGGATCGAGAGACTTTTTACATGATTAGGGTCGTAGCAAGGATCTTTCTCTGGGCTTAGATACAACAAGTATAGCTTCTTTATGTTTAACCAAAGCTACTAATTAACTGTCATGAGCCTTGAAGCAGCAGAAGGGAAGCGAACGGGTTTATTGTTTTGGGGTGCTATGGGGTTCAATGGTTTTTGTCATTCGTCTTTATGGCGTTCTAATGGGTTCTCAAGGAGTGCTTCGGGCTTCTGTAGCGGTTTCGTTCTTTGGGATTCGGGGATTAGTTTTGAGTGTTGTAGCGCATGGGGCTTACGCGCTTGGTCTCGCCGGTAGCAGCCTCGGTTAAGGGCTTCGAAACCTCAGCCCATAATCCAAAAAATCCCTAAAATATTCCTTAATTGCCCTTCTTACAAAGCCCTACTATATGGGCCTTAATAAGTAGGAGAGGCTCTCGTGGCCCAATATACTATAATTATTATAGTAAGGGATCCTCAAAATGATGTTGGTTATCATGTAGGCCCCTATAGTACAACATTCGCCATTTCCTTTGAGCAGGCTTTCGGCACCAGCACCGGTCACGCCACCTGCGCCCAGGCAAGAGCCCTCATGTCTTTGTTTTTGGGGTTTGGGGTTCAGGGTTTAGGGCTTGCGGTTCAGGGTTGAGGGTTTAGGTTTTAGGGTTTAGGGCTGCTGAACTGCGGTAGCATGCGCTGCTCAGCCACGCGGAGGTGAACGCCTCAAGCATGCACTCTACACCTTAAACCTGAAACCGCAAAGGTGAAAGAATGCTGTGCTGGAGTGCTGGCACAATTTTAATAGGGTCTTGGGCTCTCTTCCATAATTACAGTGAGGAACCCCTAAGGCATAATGTTGGTCATTATTTGGGCTTCTATTACATACCTTAGCCTACCACACCCTACTGTTTTGTAGTGTCCCTATCAACTCCATATTAGGGTTTGTAAAAAGAACCTACAAAAAAGTAGGGTTTGGTAGGCTAAGGTAGAGTTCCAAAACCACCATGGTATATACTTTGGCCTTAAAGTAGTTCCTATATAGGTACTTTGGGGCCAAAGCATATACTATTTGGGTACATGGACCCTCAGGGTAGAGTTCCAAAACCACCGCAGGTCCAAGCCGGCACCTCCGTCACCCGAGCCGAAGACTGTGCGGAACTCACGGGCGGAGGGGTTTAGGTTTCGGCTGTAGAGTTAGCCTTAAAGGGTTCCTTAAAGGGTTCCTTTAAGGCTTCCTTAAAGGGATCTATAAGGGTTCTATAAGGGGGATTAGGGTTGCTTAGAGGCACAAGGGACATAGTAAGTCGGGGTTATATGGAGGGTTATAATCAGGGCAACTCCATTTAAGGCACCTATAACCCTACTTATTACCTACTTCCTAAGTCCCCTGGGCCTCTAAGTAACCCTAATCCCCCTTATAGAACCCGTATAGATCCCTTTTAAGGAGCCCTTTAAGGAACCTTCCTACTTGCTAAGCCTCCTTCTGGGCCTCTAAGTAACCCTATTCCCCTTGTAGAACCCTTATAGATCCCTTTTAAGGAGCCCTTTACGGAACCTTCCTACTTGCTAAGCCTCCTTCTGGGCCTCTAAGTAGGGATGGTGGGGATCAGAGCTGGTTCTGTTGGAGCTGGGGAGGTTGGAGTCGTGAAGTCGGGTTGGGCGGTGTACTTGGAGGGTCTTTAGGGGACTTAGTAAGTAGGGGCTCCTTTAAAGGGGATTATAAGGGTTCCTTTAAAGGGCTCTATAGGGGTACTATAGGGTTTAGGGTTTCGGGTTCAGGGACTTAGTAAGTACTGGTAGGTAGTAAGTAGACTTATAAGTACCCTAAACGAGACCCTAATTGGGGTTATGGTACTTATAAGTCCCTTAAATAACTACTTGCTAAGTCCCCCGACCCTCCAAGTAAGGTTCCGGGTATAGCGGGTGAAGGGGTAGTTAAAGGCCCCATAGCAGTTCCTTTTTGGGACTACCTTCTAGGATTCTGTACATGAACCACAAAAAGGAACTGCTTTGGGGCCTATGGGTATAGTCGAGTATCGAGGATTGGGTGTCTTTCAAAGGGCGCTGATGCGTCAACGCAGTGCACGCCCGCAGCTTAGGCCCCAAATTCCCAAGACCCCTGCCTTGAGAGGTCTTAGAGGCACCGAGGACTTAGTAAGTAGGTTATAACCTTCGGCATCTAAGGACTCATATATTAAGGCTTTTGGGCCCAAAGACCATACTATATAAGGCTTTTGGGCTATGTTGTTGCCCAGGGTAGGTACGGTTAAAAGCACCTTAAATGAAATGACCCCAGCTATAACCCTACTGATAGCCTCCCCCGGGCCTCCGAGTAAGCCCGAATTCCCAAACCTTAAACCCTAGCCCCTCAATCTTAAACCCTAAACTAAACCCTAAACCCTAAACGTTAAGCCCTAAACCCTAAGCCCTTGAACCCCTAAACCCTAAATCTTAAACCCTAAACTAAGCCCCAAACCCTGAACCTGAAGCCCTAAACCCTAAGCCCTTAAGCCTTAAACCTTAAATGTCAAACCCTAAACCCTAAGCCCTTAAGCCTTAAACCCCAAACCCTTAAACCCTAAGCCGTTAAGCCCTAAGCCCTTAAACGAGTTGCGAGGTACCCATCTACTACCCGCCGGAAGTCCGCCCTTACACAGGCGGCAAGAGTTTTTTTTTTTAGGGATAAGGGCTAGGGTTTAGGGTTTAGGGTAGTTTGGGGTTTGGGGTTCTTTTAGGGTAGTTATGAGGGTAGTTTAGGGTTTCGGGTTTTGTTTTGGGTAGTTTAGGGTTTAGGGGTTAAGGGTCTTTCTAACGGTGCTTTAGGGGTTGTGTTTGGGGGGTTCCGTGAGGATCTTAGGCTTCAGGGTTTGGGGTTTAAAGTTTAGGGTTGTGGGATTTGGGAGGGCTTAGGGTTTAGGACTTAGAGGTTCTTCGAGCAGTGATTCGGGCTTCCCAAATCAGGCTGCATTTTAAAGAGACGCATGCCCGTATAGTATTGAGGCTACTTGGAAACCTAAGGGATGTATTTCGAAATCCTTGGCCGAAAATCATAAGTCTGATTCTACGAACAGTAGTGAGCAGCATCAGTTATTAAGCCAAAAAAGAATTTTCTGGGTCCTCAGCGACGGGGTAAACCCTAATTGAACCCTAAACCTCAAACCTTAATTAAACCCCAAAGTTGCATGAACGAATGAACAGTGGAAAGCTGTGGTCTCATACGGGAAGCTGTTGAAACACAGCTTTGGAGTGCAGATCTGCAAATCTTTTGCATCAGCTTGGCAATGGCATCCATGAACTTCGATGTCCCACCAGTCACCACCAACGTGGCAAAGGACCATGCGAAGATGCAGCAGATATAGTAGCTGATGCGCGCTTTAAACGCGACATGTGTGACCTGGCTGGCGGCAGTCAACGAATGAACATGAAACCGGAACGTGCCACCGGAGCGAGACCGCCCGTGACGTACAAGATGTGCTGCTTAGGGTTTAAAGGGAACTCCAGAAAGTTGGAATATGGATTAATGGTAGGATCCCCTATAATTTACCTTAAAGGGGTTACGATAATGATATTCCAGCTTTCTGGCTTCTACTGTAGGGTGCAGGGCACTTAGGGTTTAGGGGTTTCGATCATCGGCTTACCGTCATGGGTTTTTTCCATGTGGGTGGTTGTCAAAATTCGGATCCCTTTTTGGGTCCCTATTATAATACGGCACCTAATATTTAGGGTACCCAAAATGGGACCATAATTTTGACAACCACCCATGTAACAGGCCAGACATGCGGAAATACAGTGACACTGTGACTCTGTCTGAGCCAGTAAGGGATTTAAATTAAGCTGCCATAACAAGGAAACCATATTATTTTCTATAAATCCCGATTATGGCAACTTCAATGAAATCCTTTAACAAGAACCCAGACCTTGCTCTGTCTTCTATCTTCTGAAGCAAGGATTTATAGGGACCCTACCAACCAAGTAGGTTCTGGTGGAGTAACGCAGGGTTTAGGGAAGGACGGAGATGGGTTTCGTCGAGCACGACGTTTGCACACTTCGTAGGCAATGCAAGGGCAGCGGTCCACGAGCTGGAACGCCGATGCTGAGCATGATACACCCAAGGATCCCAATACCCCTTAATTAAAGAATATACCTGAAATCATAATAGTAGGGCCTCTATAGTTTAAGGTAAATTCCTTAAGTAAGGGGTATTGGGCTCTCTGGGCGCTGCCAGCATTGATGCTGATGTTCTCTCTTCATGCTTTGGGGTTTAGGGTTCTGGTTCCCGAACGTTAAATACCCTTGGGTTCACGATTTAAAATTCAGGGGTTCAGCATGACAGAGATGGTGGCTTAGGGCTGGAGACATAGAAGAGAATGGGATCTTCGCACATAGCTAGGAGGCGAGGTTTGTGTTCCATATCTGGGCCATGCGAACCGCTGTTCAGGGTTAGGGTTTAGGGCTGAACTCTCAATCCTGCGACCTAACGAACCTTGGCCCTGCACCCGACACCCTAAACCCTGGCATGAATGCACGGGATCCGCACCCTGCCCCGCAGGCCAGGAGCTGCGAGACGGCCTCAAGGCCGCATGTAGATGCCAGGGCAAGCAACAACAAAGCTGCATAAGCCACCACGCTCGGAGGCACAGCGGCCTTAGTAAGTCGGTCATAAGTAGGGTTATAATTGGGGTATCTCCACTTAGAGTACTTATAGCTCTAATTTTCCTGACTCACAACACCCTGTTGGTTCCGAGGTCGGCAAGTAAGCCTTTGAAACCCGTATAAAAACTTCTTAACCCCAATCAGAGCCTCCAGTATGACATCCGAGAGACGCCAAGCCGACACCCCTTACTTAAGGATACCGTTTCAAGGAACCCTACGTCCCTACGTCGCTGTAAGGCTGCTGTTTTCTTAAGGACGCTGTTTGCCAGGATCCCGTCTTGAGTCTAAGGGAATAATGTAGGAACCTGCTTGAGAAGCCTTAGGTTTTTAATCAGGGCTCTTCATATGGATCTGCATATTTTGGGGTTCTAGGATTGCGGTTTCTTATTCAGGTTGCTACATTAAATTCATGGCCTCTTCGGGTCTCTGGAAGCCGCGGTGCACTTGCAGCCCACACCCTCCCAGGCAAAGAGCTAAAAGGCTGGTATTGCAACGATACGGGGGAGGGGCCTTCCTAAGCAGAATAAGGTTTGGGATGTAGGACAAGATATGCAGACAGGGCCTGTAAGGTTATAGGGGGCGGGAAATTGTTTCGAAGGATCCAGAGAACCTTTTTTCTTAGGGTTTAGGGTTTAGGATTTAGGGTGGATTTGGATGCTTGGACTGCTTAGTTTTTTCTTCTTTAGAGGATCAACTCCCTCCAAAAAACGTTTCGCCAAACGCGAAGCACTTGAATACGAGCCCTCGATGCTCCTTCCCCGAGACCACGGGGCCTAAAATCTTGCTATAGTGGTACCTGCCCTAGATTTCAGGTTTTGTATCGCTGAGGCCCGATAAAGACGAACGTGTTGATTTCTTTCTCCTGCTTCGAATCCTAAACCAAGAGTCCTGTATAAAGCAGGTCTACATCGCCACGCCAGCGTACGGTGGACAGGCGCTGATGCTTTTCTGTGCGACTATCAAGCCTTAATTTCTTAAAGAGCTAAACCCTCAAAGCTCTGAAACCCTATATCCAAAGTCCCCAAGCCCTAGACCCTCAACCTTGCTGTTGAACCTTTGCCGCCGTGCAATTGCAAGCTTTGGCCCCATAGTGTTTCAGACCGGAGCTGTGATGAATCAATGAAGGCTCTGACGGCTTGGGCTTATGGAGAAAGCATGACTGTAGTCAATCTCCTCCGCCTCGTTGTCCTACTAGCGCTGCTGCTGATGCTACTGCTGCGATTACTACACGACGGCTACCACGACTTCTGCTCCGACGACGACTACTGCTACCAAGGGTGTTGCAGGGGTTTCGGGTTCTTAATGCTGTTAGGGTTTTTGAAGTCTTAGGGCTTAGGGAGATGTTTCAAGAACATCCGAAACCACCAAAAAACCCCAAACCCTATACTAAGGCGACTCAAGGAGAGCATTCTCTCTCGGCCTTTGTCTTCAGCCTCCAAGTAGCTCAAAGTGCTGGGGCTTGAAGGTGACGGTGGACTATATGACCTCGGTCATTCATATGGTGACGCAGCTCAAAGAGGCGGGCGTACAGGTGTAGTACTAGTGTAAACGTATGACATATGCGTATAAGTAAGTACATGCGTATGTAGCAGTGTCCGTATGCAAGCATGTATGCACGAACGTACGTTTTCAATGATCTGTGTATGTATGTGTCCATCTCATCAGGGGTTTATGCAACGATGTTTCTTGGGGCGCTTTGAGGGCCTCCTGTCTATTCGTCGCCGGAGGCTGCTGGACCCTAAGCCGTAAATGCGGTAAACACCTACATCCCTAAGACCAAACCATGCACACCCCAAAACCCCTAAACCCTAAAACCCCTATACCCTAAAACCCTAAAGCCTAAACCCGAACACCCTAAACCCTCAAACTCTTCATCCCCAGTTTTTTTGGTTTTTCCTTTCAATTCAGTCTCTTTTAGCAGCCTCGAGGTTTGGGTGCCGGCTTCATGTCTTAAAGATGTTTGCAAGGGTTGTATAAGAAGAATAACAAGGTTTACAGGTGCAAGGATTATCGGTTTGGGGTGGGGGCGGGTTTCCAAGATTTCTATAATGCTTCTACAGTGGCATGGGGTTTAGGATTAGGACATGACTGGGATGTAGGCGTTCCATCGCTGAGCCCTGAACGGCAAGCCCAAAACCCGCTATAGACGCGATGCATTCAGAACCTTTGAACGTATAGCGACTTTCGCAGTAATGACCAATATAGTAACTCTGTAGGCCTTTGTGACATTTTATATTTTCCCTTATTGGGCTTAGTAGGACCCTATTTACGAACATTTTTCGGGGGCTTTAAGGGGCCAACCTAGGTAAGCCTAAACGCGTTGTTGCGGCGAGGTTGCGTGGCAGTTGTCCCTGGTGGCAGGGCAGCCGGGATCTCGGCTAGGGTTTTTGGGGATGAGGACTCGACAAGGACTTTGGGATCTACTTCCTGAAAGAAGGATCTGGTTTCAAGGGTTTAGGGCCTTTAGAGTTTAGGGTGCAGGGCTTAGAGAGAAGAGAGAGAGAGAGAGAGAGAGAGAGAGAGAGAGAGAGAGAGAGAGAGAGAGAGAGAGAGAGACTGACAGCGAGAGAGAGAGAGAGAGAGCGAGCGAGAGCGAGAGAGACAGCGAGAGAGAAGGAGCACACAGCAACACGCAAGTCAAAATCTGCCTTAGCACGACAAGCCTTCGCCTTTCTGTTGCGTACTTAGGTCAGCATCCCATCAACCCCTAAACCCCAAAAACCCTACTTAGGTCAGCACTCGGGTGGTCGTCAAAATTAAGGTCCCTTTTTACCCTAAATAATAGGTGCCGTATTATAATAGGGACCCAAGAAGAGACCCTAGTTTTGACAATCACCTACTTGTCTCGTGTGGTCGGTTCTGGTCACCTTGTCATGTTTCATGGTTCCCCCAAAGAATTAACAGACCGGCGAGTAGACCTTCTAAAATAGTTCCTACTAAGGGATATAGGTATAGGGCTTTGTCGATTATTTCTAAAAGGACAAGGGTGTTCCAAACATGTCCCAAACACAGCCACAAGGTATGAAATTTCAAGATCCCTGGGGCCTAAATCCTAAACCCCGGTAAGGCTGCCTTTAAGGTTCCTTTAAGGGTTCCTTCAAGGATTTGTTTTTGAAAGGGCGAGGGTGTTCTGGTCCAGATGCCAGGTAAGGGCCGAAGCACCCGCAACAGAACTTGAAGACGGGGCTCGAAACTTAAGAGCAGGGTCTAGGGTTTAGGGGTTTAGGGTTTTAGGGGTTTAGTGCTTTAGTGGTTTAGGGCTTAGGGGTTTAGGGTCTTTGGTTTAGGGGTTTAGGGTTTAGAGCTTAGGGTTTAGGGTTTAGGGTTTAGGGTTTAAGGATTGGGCTTTAGGGCACCCTGTATGGACTTTCAATCTTGTTTTCAGACCTCGCAGAGTCATCGCGGAGGAACGGGGTGCCCGGAAGCTCGAATTACGTGGCCGGCTAGCGGAGTATTTTAGAACCCGTTTTGAATTTATACTACTGTAATGTTCGGCAGGAGTACCACGTGGGTCCCGCCGCTTAAGATTCTACGGGAACATTCACCCTTCAGGTCTTTTCTGCAAGATGCTGGGAGCGACGGCTACATCCCAAAGTCTCAGACGGTTTAGAGTTTAGGGGGGTTTAGGGTTGAGGGTTGAAAAAGCACCCTAAACCGTCAACCTCAAGTAAGGAGAGCCTACAAATCGCTTGTGCCCAGGTCCATCATCACAGTTGGCCGCAACAATGCCGGGAGCCCGGGAATCCGAAAACCCAAGCACAAGCAGTAGCTCCCTATCCCGAGCCTTGGGTGTTTTAGGGTTTCTGGTTTTAGGTGTTTTGCGAGTTTTGGGCTTTAAGGGCTTTGCGGCTTGAATGTGTTGAGAGTTTTTCAGCCTTTAGAGCTCTTGTTAGGACTGCACCATTTGAGGGCTCAAGGGAAAAGGCCTACACTACAAGGGCGACAAAACCCTGCAAACCCTTCTAGAAGAGCCAAAATCAACACAGTTATAATCATCTAACCATTGATATCGGAGGAGCTAAGGAGCCAGGGATGATGATACTCCCTCGTAAATAAGGAGCTAAAGAGCCAAGGGAACGCCAAAACCACTGCTTAGACATTGAGGCCTTTGTTTGTCAAGCCCTTTGTGTAACTTTGAGCATCTTGAAGCTCGAACCACGTCTTTTGGGTTTAGGAGTTTCGGGTTTTTAGGGGTTCACGGTTTAGGTTTTGGGCTTTAGAGTCTCGGTTTTGGAGTTTTACTGTTTAGGGTGTGGTAGGTTGACCCACGGCGCTCGGCGCTGGCTTCTAGGACTCGAACTTTTTGAACTTTCGAACGTTTATGTCACGGAGGCTGTTTGACTGTGAGGAGGTCCCGAAGTCAACTCAGCTTCAGAGTAGGATCCTTACTATGAAGACCCCCAAAATAAGGTACCCCCCAATTTTCGGAAACTCCCTAAACCCCTATAGAATCAATTCAGTATGTAGACCTCACCTTCCAAGCCACTAAGCCCTTGTGTAGGTGTGTAGGGGTTTTAAGGGGTTTGGGGGTGTAGGGGTTTGGGGGTGTTGGGGTTTGCGGGTTTAGGGCTTTAGGGGTTTAGGGGTTTAGGGGTTCGGGGGCGGAACGTTGAGAGTGTCGTGAGGCGGTAATGGAGTTTTTGGCGACGGCCGGGTGCCCAATCACTGCGCAAATTCACTTCCGGAGATGTCGATCGAACCGGCTGATTTACTTTGAAGTAAACATAGAAGCATGTGTTGTCTAAAGCACACTGGTACAGCAAAGTAGACAAGAATGACATTGATCATCATGGACGGATAGAAAGGAATCATGCTATTGTTTTTGAAGGCACAGGTCGTAGTAAACGTTGTCAAAACGGAACAGCTTGTCACAGTGAGAAATGCACGGGCTGAGCCACCATCACCATCACCATCACCATCACCGTCATCATCATCATCATCATCTTCTTCATCGGTTCTTCCTTGCCAGCATCGTATTTTTGAACCGTCATCACAGGCCAGCCCCAAACTCTAAACCCTAAACCCCCAAACCCCTAAACCCCCAAACCCCTAAACCCCTAAACCCTAAACCCCCAAACCCTAAACCCCAAACCCTAAACCCCTAAACCCCTAAACCCCTAAACCCTAAGCCCCAAAACCCCCAACCCCCCCAAACCCTAACCCCCCTAACCCCTAAACCCTAAACGGTGGATGAGGATTTTCGGGGTGGTGCCTTTTGCCTGGGTCCTGGCCTCGGCGTAGAGTTTCGGATTGCGGTTTCGGTTCCAGGCCTTGGGTTTGGGTCGTAAGGGTTCAGGGTTTTAGGGGTTTTGGTTTAGGGTTCAGGGTTTAGGGTTTTAGGGTTTTAGGGGTTTTGGTTTAGGGTTTTGGGTTTAGGGTTCAGGGTTTTAGGGGTTTTGGTTTAGGGTTTAGGGTTGTGGGTTTAGGGATAAGGGTTTAGGGCTTTAGCGGTTTTGGGTTTAGGGTTTAGGGGTTAGGGTTTAGGGCTTTGGCGGTTTTGGGTTTAGGGATCGCCTCAGCACACTGAGAAGAAGTCTCATCCGGGTTGAACCTCCCATTTCTAATGGTGTCCTGCTTTCCGAAACACGGGAAAGCGCAATGGCCCGTAATTTTGAGAGAGCAATGATGAAGGATGCTGCTCCTGCATCCGAGCCCGAGAAGAGAACTGTGGATCGGAAGCGACAAAAGTGCTTCCAGGAGATTTGTATAAACGGATTGCACCCCGCTTCAGTGAGGTCTGTGCGTGTTTTGAGTTGCATTCATAGGACACCGATCCCTTGCTGAAGAGCTCGAGAAGAGCAAAGGCGGCCGCCAACAATGCCATCTTTAGAAGGTCCAGCGTGCCAAAAGTGCAACGGACGCACCAAGGCCCTGCAAAGTTGCGCACTGGCCTACATTGAGAGCAGCTGACCATATCACTGCACAGACCAAAACTACAGCTTGCAGGGACCTGGAAAAGCGCATCGACAACAAGGATCGAAAGGACACGACTTTGCAGAAATGGTCGGAGTCTAGACTCTGTCTGCAAAGGGCGACGACTGACCGAGACCAGAGCGCCTGCAGGTTGCTGGCTTCAAGTTCAAACGGCTCTAAAGGAGAAGTCCACAGTGAGAATGTTAGGGTTTAGGGCTTCAGGTTTTAGGGGTTTTGGGTTTAGGGCTTAGGGTTTAGGGCTTCAGGTTTTAGGGGTTTTGAGTTTAGGGATTAGGGTTCAGGGCTTTAGGGGTTTTGGGTTTAGGGTTTTGGGGGTTTTGGGTTTAAGGTTTGGGGTTTTAGGGTCTTTGGGTTTAGGGCTTTAGGGGTTTTGGGTTTAGGGATTAGGGTTTAGGGCTTCAGGTTTTAGGGGTTTTGAGTTTAGGGATTAGGGCTTTAGGGGTTTTGGGTTTAGGGTTTTGGGTTTAGGGTTTAAGGTTTGGGGTTTTAGGGTCTTTGGGTTTAGGGCTTTAGGGGTTTGGGGTTTAGGGATTAGGGTTCAGGCTTCAGGTTTTAGAGGTTTTGAGTTTAGGGATTAGGGTTCAGGGCTTTAGGGGTTTTGGGTTTAGGGTTTAGCGTTTTGGAGGGTTTTGGGTTTAGGGTTTGGGGTTTAGGGTCTATTGGGTTTCAGGATTATCGGCCGAAGTCCTAAACCGGGGAGCCTTGGTGCCTTAGGGCGTTCGGGTGCGATTTATTGGAGCTTAGGTTCTCAGAATTCTTCGGGAATCTATTCCTGGAGTTTCCTTACCTTTGGTTAGTAGGGAATGGTGGAATGGGGTACAATTATAGCTACTATTACTACCATTCTTCCATTCCCTACTAGCCAAAGGTAAGTTTCTGAGCTGAGTTAGAGCGTCCCGATGAATATTCTAGTCGGTATAGGCAATTTTGGAATCCCCAAATCAGGACTGCACCCACCTCCTTTTCCTGGATGCGGACGTCGCCTTCACTGCCGCTGGAGCTAGCTCAAGTTGTGTTTGTTCGGAGGGTTCATGGTTTTGGCGGTAACAGTTTTTCGAGAGTCTGGAGTTGTAGCAGCGTCTGCTACCGTCTCAAAAGCGTTCAAGCGGTTTTCGAGTCTTTGGTTTGACGTTCACAGTCACTGTTCTGGCCTACTGCAGGGTTCAGGGCTCATGTGATTTGGTTTTCGGGCTTGGCATGGGACTGTCTGACTCGATTGAAACTCGTGCTTCTGGTTTTTGGTTCGGAGTAGGGTGAATCAGTGCATTGTTTTGACCACGACTCTTGGTATTGCGAGATCAGGACTTTGTGGGGCGCCGCTTAGTGTGTTGTGTTACACCCCTCGACACCATGTGTCTTTAGCTCCGTTCCGTCTAAGCCTAATTTCCCAAGTATCCTTTACATGTGGAGTAAGTGGCAATGTCGACACGTGATTCGTGAACTTTCTCTTTAGGCAAAGCCACCTAGGACCTAGCAGACCTAGAAGTAGGAAATAGGACCCTTGTTGTAATCCGTACGAGGGAAGTCGGGTTGATTAAACAGAGGTCGACGTTACTATGGGAGCTTAAGTACATTACCAATGTTATTCTGTGGCAAAACACCCTATTCTATTATGACGGTCCCCTGCTTTACACCCTTCTTGCTAAGATTCTGGAGGAAGCTGCAGACCCTTGATCCCTGTCCCAGAGAATCCCAAAGCCTCCGGCACAGGTCGAAATGCACAGCTGCAGGGGAAAGCTCTGAACCCTAAGCCCGGAGGTCTACCTATAGTCTCAATTGTAGTTCGTTTTTGGGATTACCTTATAGCATCCTAACTATGTTTTGGTTAAACCCAAATAAGGAACTACAATGGAGACTATAGGTAGGAGCCAGGGCTTACGGTTTGGTGTTCAGGCTTTAGGGTTTAGAGCGTCCAGTTTGTCCACCAATGCGGGGATTTACCTCAAGCTGTAGAAGGCTTCTTATGAAGTTTCGGGTTGTATCCGGAATTTCGGAAGCGTGCACAACTCTCAACCCCGCTTGCTATCTGAGGTGGACACCATCCGTGGTATGCTGGCGGAAGGTGCCTCGAAGAGGGTGCATAGCAAACCCTAAACTCTAGAACCCAAATCACCAAACCTTAAACGTTCAACTCGCCCAAAAGATCCTTAAGTCCTTATAGCCTTGTAGACCCTTAAGTCCTCATAGCCTTGTAGACCATGAAACCCTCACAGCGTTGTAGACCACTTGATCAAGAACCCCGACGCCCTGCTTTGAAGAACGGTGTCCCGCTCGGAGATTCCCGAAGGGGAACTCGACGCAAGAGCTACTCCGGGATGCAAATGGCAATGGCATTATTGATTTTTAGGTTTTGGAAGTAACGCAAAGGAACTCAAGGCCAAATACAAGACTACTATGTGGAGTGAAGGGATACACCGCGCGCTCGCTTAAACGCATGCAGAAGCATTCGAGTCCCCTTAATCAAAACCCGCAGCCCTAAACCCTTTAACCCCAAGCTCTAAAACCCTAAACCCTAAACCTTGAACCCCAAAAACCTAAACCCCAAAACCCTCAAGCCCTAAACCCTGAACCCTAAAACCCTAAACCCTAAAAGCCCTAAAGTCCGAAACTCTCCAACCCCCACAGGTTGGACCGAATCTCACGGAAGCTGAAGTTGTAGTGATTCTCTCTCCATTGGTTGTCGCTGATCCGCTGCGCCGAGATCAACAGCAAGAGTGACGATCCAAAGAATGGCCGCTCTTGCTTTTAGTCCCTGGAAGCAGCTGGCTCCGCAAGTTTTTTCTGGCTGCCGGGCTCGAACTGGCTTCGACGAGGAAACAATGGCCGCATGCTGGGATCCCTGATCCAACTGTGGAAGCTTCTTGGCAAAGTGAAATGATGCGTCCGGATCGATCGTCGGAAGGTCGAGTCGTGGTTCCCGGAGCAGTCAAGTTGTACCACAGCGAAGACGGCACAGATGCCAAGCAGAAGGTCCGCAAAAGCCTTCAGATTGACACCATGCTTCGGGACAGGCCCGCAGTACGCAGAGAGCCGCCTTTCCAGCGCTTGTTGGAAATTTTAGCATGTTCAGATGGGCCAGACACAGGGATCCAGTACCTAGTCAACCCTCTTGGCAGTTTGACTCTTCACGAGCTGCTTCAGCGGCAAACTCCCGTGCAGTGGATCACAGCATTCATAGACTACTCGTCAGATGCCACCATCGCAAAAAAGCGGCATTCTCGGTTGCGGGATTTAGCAATTGCCCTGATCTGCTGCCGAAGTACACCTGTCTTGAATGAACTAATCCAGCTACGGTGCGCTGGGTGTAATTCGACTTAAAAGGACGCGATGAGGAACCTTACAATAATTAGGATAGGGTTTGGGGGTTTGTTAAACGAAAAACAATAACAAGGAACCCCCAAAATAGTATAGTAAATTATATAGCCCTCTATATTGTTCGGAATCAATAACGAGAATAGGGGTTTTCGGAGGGTATATCTTACTTTAAAGTATGCTAAAGAAACCTAAGGAATAGTCTTACTAATCTTAAGCTAATTAGGATAAGCAAACCTGAGGAATGGTCCTATGACATAATAGTTCAGGGGTCCATTTTCGACTCGGTGGTGGCGGCATTTCGCAGTCTGCCTTGCTTGAGCTCAGTCTCATGTGCCGCGACGCAGTCGTCTCAATCATTGTCTACTCATTGTTGAACACAAGGCCCTAAATATGAATAATTTTGGGGAATGTCGGATTCGACACCTAGCTGTTCAACTTCCGATGCCAACCCATTTCTTCGATGCCCAAAGCTGACGTTTGTGTCTGAAATCCCTTGATTCATGCCTTGCCAGTCAATTTAGGCCAGCTCACACCGTGACACTTCACAGTTCCCCTTGCTGGTGGCTGAAACCTAGGCCCAAATCCTCTCCCCTTCACCCTAAACCCTAAACCTTAGGACAGTAAGAGTCTATAATGGGGCTACTATTTAGGTCCTACTATATCTATATTATGAATATTATTCAACTATTACTGAGTGGGGGCCGTACCTAACCTAAACCCTAAAAAAAAACCTAGGCCCTAAACCCAAGCCCACGAAGCTAAGACCTCTGCGCAGACAAAGACGTCATCCTCGCCCCGTATCCTGCCAAGAGCCTCAACGAAGAGAGGCCCGGGGACTCTCCTATGCTGCCAGGCGACTTAGGGTTTAGGGTTAAGGTAAAAGCCAGAAAGTTGGAATATGATTATCCTAACCCTTCTATGGTAAATTATAGCATGAAACCATATTCCAGCTTTCTGGAGCTCCCTGTAAGGGTTTAGGTTTAGGATTTAGTAGGGTTTAGGAGTTTAGGGGTTTGAGGTTTGGGGTTTGGGGTTCAGGGCTTGGGGTTTAGGGCTAACGGTTCAGGGTTCAGGGTTTAAAATTTTGGTGGGTTCAGGGTTGAGGATCTAACAAAATAGAAATCCCAGATCGAAGGGTTCCTTTAAGGGCCCCTTTAAAGGGATCTATAGGGATTCTATAGGGTTGATGGGGGTGCACCGGGTCCCCAAGGAGGGGAAGGGCTCTTTCTGCTGGAGCAGAGCAATCGGAAAACGCCGGAAACAAGGTGAGCTTATCAAGGGGATGCTGGGGGCATCTCGCCTCCAGGTTTGGGTTAAGGGTTGACTTTACTTGTTCTGGGTTTCACACACCACATATACTGCTGCAATGGGGGTATGCAATAAAAAATGTCTCTTGATAATTCAATCTAACAACACAATTTCAACCGTCCCCGCTAATAAGGGGCAGCTCAATGGTTAGGTTAGTAAGCCCCATGGAGCCTGGAGGCCACCCAGAAACTTACCCACAGACTTCAAACCAAGCACTTGAAGGGGTCTGAGGGTTTAGGGTTCAGGGTCCAGGATTTAGGGTCTAGGGTTCAGGGTGTAGGGTTTAGTGTTCAGGGTTAGGGTTTAGGGTTCAGGGTTCGGGGCTTAGGGTTCAGGGTTTAGGGTTTAGGGCTTAGGGCCTGAGGGAGTGTGTGCGTGCTGTCTTACATATTAAAACAAAAGGTTTCCCAGAACCCTGGTCGAATTACTCAGACCCTTACAAACCTATAGAGACCCCATACAGACCTACCCGAAACCCTCAGCCTCGTAATCTATCCCTCATAGACCGCGTATAGACGCGTATAGAGCCTAAGCCCACAGAGATTTTCAGCCCCCGATAAACCCCAAGCCCAAAACCATAACCCTCAACACAGAGCTCCTTTTTAGAGAGCCCCCTAAGCCCTAACCCTAATCCCCAAGTCCTAAACCCTAAAGTACCCTAAACCCTCAACCTTTCTTTTATGAAAGTACCCCAAACCTGAAACCCTAAACCTCAAAGTACCCGAAACCCTGACGTACCCCAAATCCCTAAACCCTACAGTACCCTGTGCCCTACTTGGAGGTTCGTGGGTAGTTATAAGTAGGGTTATCCCTGAACCTCCAAGTAGGCTTTAAGCCCTATACCCCTCTAGAATTCCTTATAGATCCCTTTAAGGGGACCCTTAAAGGAACCCCCCGCACCTCCAAGTAAACCCGAAACCCTAAACCCAAAACCCCAAACCCAAAACCCTAAACCCAAAGCCCTAAACCCTAACCCCTAAACCCTAGACCCTAAACCAAACCCTAAACCCTAAACCCTCGCAGCGCACTGGAGCCAGGATGTTGGAGGCGGCGGCACGGCGCGGCAGCGCCGCGAGGCCGGCTCGGCTCGTCCCAACATGTCACAAAGCCGTGAAAGTTTTAATTTATAGAGGGGTCTTTGACATGATTTAAGGTATCAGGTGGTACCAGTCTAGGGCTGCATGACGCATGAATTCGGGCGGATTGGGCGCTTTTGATATACAGATTCTTCCTTCGAAGCTTCTTGTCAGGGCTTAGGCTGCTTGCGGTTGGGCTTGGTTACTGTAAAGTTGTACCCTTGCCCCCTAAACCCGAAACACGTAAGCGGAAGCGGCACCAAGAACGGCTTGTGAACATTAAACTTAGTAATACCCTACTGTGCCCGATGCCCAGTGCCAATGTTCTTGAACTCCCCAACCCTAAACCCTAAACCCTAAAGACCCTGCAGTCGCGCCTATCGTGGGTGCAGAAGAAAGGGGTTCTCAGAGGCGCGTGGTCAAGGAGGACTTTCCAGCGTTTAGGGTTTAGGAGTTGGGGTTTAGGAGTTAGGGTTTAGGAGTTAGGGTTTAGGGTTTAGGGAGAAGATCAGATGACATGGTGAGCGACCTTGCTCAAGGCGATCGCGGAGCAGGAGAGCCCGACTTGGCCCTTGCCGCGCAAGCCCTGTGCTCGGGCTCGAGCTTCTGAAGCCATGATGCATCCAGTAGAGGAAGACTGAGGAAGACCTCCCCAGCCCGCCCGAGTGATTGCTTTCTGTGTCTCAAAGCAATGTCACTATCAGTTGGACATTTGCTTCCAGCCTCCGTGTGCTCTAGCAAGGGAGCTGCCACGAACGTGCGCATGTGTTCGTACGTGGGTCAAGACATGCAAGAAAAAGCCTTCTTCATCAGCGTCATGGGTGGCCAGGTTTCCGAAAGGTGCAGCACGCACCTGCCGCTGGATGTGGAGATTCAGCTGGCTCCGAATAACAACTTGTCCTCTTCCCTTATTTGTTTAAACATTTCAGTCTAATGTGCCCAAAAGCCCTATTCTAGCTGCTGGGGCTTAGACATTTATGATCATTCATGTGTGACCTATGTGTAACTTTGCGCTATGCGCCATTCACGACTTCAGACAGGCCCTAAACCCTAAACCACTAAAGCCGAGAACCCCTAAACCCTGAACCAGAAACCCTAAACCCCAAAACCCTAACCCCTAAGCCCCAGACCTCTGAACCCTAAACGCTAACCCCTAAACCCCTAAACCCTAACCCCTAAGCCCCTAAACCTCTGAACCCTAAACCCTAACCCCTAAACCCTAACTCCTAAGCCCCAGACCTCTAAACCCTAAACCCTAAGCCCCAGACCTCTAAACCCTAAACCCTAAACCCTAAACCCTAACCCCTAAACCCTTAAAACCCTAACCCCTAAGCCCCTAAACCTCTAGACCCTAGGCACCCTAACAACAGGCTGCGCGATGGCCTGCACTACGTGCTCCATGCCCACCCGGGCAAGGCCTCCCCAACCCGAAGCCGAGGATTCTGAGTGTCTAATGTAGGGGCCGTAATGATTAGAATAGGGGTTCCTTTTAAAGGGATCTATAAAGGGTTCCTTTAAAGGGGTCGGTCTATAAGGGTTACTGTAAGGGATCTATAGCGTTTCTATAATTAGGGGCCTTAAGATTTCGAATAGGGTATGTTATACTATAATTGTGCCCAGGACCCCCCCCCCAAACCCTAGTCTAATTATTAAGGCCCCTATCTACATTATGGAAACAAGGGTTTCGGGAAAGACCCGACGTATTATCCCCTTACAGCCCCTACATAGTGAAGGTTCGTCTATACATCTACTTAAATGTATGCATACATGTATGTATGTATGTATGTATGTATGTATGTATGTATGTATGTATGTATATATATATATATATAAAAAGCATGCGTTTCCTATTATTCATTAATAAATTAGTAGCTATATGAGAGGCCTGACCTTGCGCAACAACCGGCGGCTTACAGCCGAAGCTTCTGGCCTGACGTCCCAAACCCTGAACCTCACAGTCTGCAGTCATGGAACCGTTTATGTAGGAATTTGGGGGCTGTCGCGCTCTTGAAAGCGTGTCACCGTTTCTCTTGATTTTGGAACCCTTAAAGAAGAGCCTTAAATCTAAAGCCGTATAAGCCCTTTTGCATCCCGAGCCTTACTGATTACTGGCACTGTTGATTAGGGTTCCTGACTCTGGTTAGAATGCAATATAGCACCAAAATATTCCGATCCCTACATTACCCGAAGCCATGATCCACACCCTTCTGCCTAAAAGCCCCTATCCGTCCGTAAACCATACGGGTAGGCCCTAAACTTACTGGCACCTGGACTGGTCGGGCTTGACAAACAAGCGTGCAGGCTCCTTTTGGAGACACACACGGACATCGAGGGCATGTTCTGTGACGGGATGGAGTTGGGTTATGACACGAAGCGAAGATCTTTGTGAAACGAAGACGAACGGGCATGTACGCATGCCACTCTGTACGGTCTTGACCGTGCGCTTCCCATGCCAGGATTGCTTCGTCCTGCATGCTCCCTTTTGTAGGGGTTTAGGGGTTGGGGGGTTTCGGGGGTTTAGGGGATTATGGGTTTAGGGGTTTAGGGGTTTTGGGGGTGTAAGACTCTAGGGGTTCAGGGGATTATGGGTTAGGGGGTTTCGGGGTTCAGGGCTTTGTGGCTGAGCTTAAGGATCACCGAACGAGGCCCCAAAAGAAACACCCAAGGGACTCCTGTTACACAATGCCAACGGGAAAGTCCCTTACGGCTTAGGGTTTAGGGTTTACGGTTTAGTGTTTAGGGTTTGCGATTTGGGGTTCAGAGTTTAGGGTTCAGGGTCCAGAACGAATCCTTCTAGGACTCCCTTTTCGGAATCCCATAAAGGAACCCTCAACACTTCAGTAAACCCTATCCCCTAAACCCTTTAGCCCTTAACCCCCGAAACCCCTAAACCCACAAAGCCTTGAACCCCTAAGCCGATAAACCCCTCAACCCATAATCCCCTAAATTCCCTCAACCCCTAAACCCTAAACCTCTAAACCCTAAACCCCCAAATCCCAAACCCTAAACCCCTAAACCCCTAAACCCATAATCCCCTAAATTCCCTCAACCCCTAAACCTCTAAACCCTAAACCCCCAAATCCCAAACCCTAAACCCCTAAACCCCTAAACCCATAATCCCCTAAAGCTCTAAGCCCTAAACGACAGACTCAAACCCTAAACCCCCAAACCTCTAAACTCCTCAACCCCTGAACCCCTAAACCCATAATCCCCTAAATTCCCTCAACCCCTAAACCTCTAAACCCTAAGCCCCCAAATCCCAAACCCTAAACCCCTAAACCCCTAAACCCATAATCCCCTAAAGCTCTAAGCCCTAAACGACAGACTCAAACCCTAAACCCCCAAACCTCTAAACTCCTCAACCCCTGAACCCCTAAGCCCATAATCCCCTAAATTCCCTCAACCCCTAAACCCTAAACCTCTAAACCCTAAACCCCCAAATCCCAAACCCTAAACCCCTAAACCCCTAAACCCATAATCCCCTAAATTCCCTCAACCCCTAAACCTCTAAACCCTAAACCCCCAAATCCCAAACCCTAAACCCCTAAACCCCTAAACCCATAATCCCCTAAAGCTCTAAGCCCTAAACGACAGACTCAAACCCTAAACCCCCAAACCTCTAAACTCCTCAACCCCTGAACCCCTAAACCCATAATCCCCTAAATTCCCTCAACCCCTAAACCCTAAACCTCTAAACCCTAAACCCCCAAATCCCAAACCCTAAACCCCTAAACCCCTCAACCCATAATCCCCTAAACCCTCAATCCCTAAACCCTAAACCTCTAAACCCTAAACCCCCAAATCCCAAACCCTAAACCCCTAAACCCCTAAACCCATAATCCCCTAAATTCCCTCAACCCCTAAACCCTGAACCTCTAAACCCTAAACCCCCTAATCCCAAACCCTAAACCCCTAAACCCCTAAACCCATAATCCCCTAAACCCTCAATCCCTAAACCCTAAACCTCTAAACCCTAAACCCCCAAATCCCAAACCCTAAGCCCCTAAACCCCTAAACCCATAATCCCCTAAATTCCCTCAACCCCTAAACCTCTAAACCCTAAACCCCCAAATCCCAAACCCTAAACCCCTAAACCCTAAACCCATAATCCCCTAAAGCTCTAAGCCCTAAACGACAGACTCAAACCCTAAACCCCCAAACCTCTAAACTCCTCAACCCCTAAACCCCTAAACCCCTAATCCCCTAAAGCTCTAAGCCCTAAACGACAGACTCAAACCCTAAACCCCCAAACCTCTAAACCCCTCAACCCCTAAACCCCTAAACCCCTAAACCCCTAATCCCCTAATCCCCTAAAGCTCTAAGCCCTAAACGACAGACTCAAACCCTAAGCCCCCAAACCTTTAAACCCCTCAACCCCTAAACCCCTAAACCCCTAATCCCCTAATCCCCTAAAGCTCTAAGCCCTAAACGACAGACTCAAACCCTAAGCCCCCAAACCTCTAAACCCCTCAACCCCTAAACCCCTAAACCCCTAAACCCTTAATCCCCTAAAGCTCTAAGCCCTAAACGACAGACTCAAACCCTAAACCCCCAAACCTCTAAACCCCTCAACCCCTAAACCCCTAAACCCCTAATCCCCTAAAGCTCTAAGCCCTAAACGACAGACTCAAACCCTAAGCCCCCAAACCTCTAAACCCCTCAACCCCTAAACCCCTAAACCCCTAAACCCTCAACCCCTAAACGAAAGACTCAACCCCCCTTCGGGCAGGTGCAGGAGGCCCTGGAGCGGGGCTCGAAGCTGGTCGAGGCGAGGGTTTTGCGTCCCAGGGGTTCCTTTAAAGAGTTCCTATAAGGGTTTCTTAGAGGGTTCCTTTTATGTAAGGGTTCCTTTAAGGGTTCCTTTAAGAGTTCTTTTTTAAGGGTTCCTTTAAGTTTCTTTTAAAGGTTCCTTTAAGGGTTCCTTAAAGGGTTCCTTTAAAGGTTACTATAAGGTTCCGTTAAACAAAAAAGGCTTGCACCAGCACTTTCGAGATGTTCTATCAGATTTTCAGGGTTTTAGGGTGTGAGATCTTTGGAGGATTCGAGCACAGGGTTTTGAGTTTCCGGTGTACTACAGGGGTCCAAAGAATTGCTAGCATTGCGCCTTCGTGTTCGTACGCGCTCATATGTACATAATGTAGGCTGCAGACATGTCCTATCGACTCTGGGCTACATCATGCGGTATACACCTTGAAGACTCAAGACTTCTGAAATCACCCAGGCCCTGAACCCTGAACACTGAACCGGGAAGACAAGACCCTAAGCTCCAAAGATCCTGAACCCTCGAGCCTGAAACCTCAAACCCGGAGCCTGAACCCCCAGCTGAAAAGGCGAACTACCCCCCCCCAAAAAAAAACAGAAAACAGAACTTCAAACTTAAGCCCCGACAAGGATTCATCTGGGTCTCCTTCTAAGGGTCTCCTTGAAAGAGTTCCCTTTTAGGGCTCTGGTCAAGGGCTCCTCCAAGGGATCCCGCTGGGTCTCAGGTGGATGCTGGGCCGACCGGCTGCATGCTCATCAAGCGGGAGGTTTTCTCCAAGCTGATGAAGGCAGCTTTGCTGTGTTAATACAAGGTTCCTTGAAAGGGGTCTATAAGGGTTACTATCAGGGATCTACAAGGCTACTATAGTGTAGAGGCCTCAATAATAAGAATAGGGTTTTGGGGCGTATTTTGCCATCATTATAATAAATTGCAATGAAATGGGTTTATTTTCGGATTGTTGTTATTAGTACTATGGTTCTTTTTATTATCGTTCTTATACTGATCAAGTTTACAATTATTGTTATTGTCGTCGTTATAGGTATACTCTAGATATACATATCTCCAACGGGTCTCGTTTAACATTTCATTCCTCTGAAAGCAGTTTTCGCGCTTTTCGGGCCTCTTCTGGACGGACCTCCAAACAACATTTTTCCTTGCCTTCTGCATCAGCAGGGATCAGGCTTGAGGGCTCGCCTCGTGTTGAGGATGTCATGCGTTCCTAGGACCCAGAGTAGGCCCTTATTCCCCTTTTGAAGGGTTTAGGTTCCCTTATAACCCCCTTTATCCCAAAAAGGGCACCCTTGTTATTCCTAGGTTACTCTTGGGTCTAGGTTCCTTGTTTGCACTGAAAGCTTCTGTTGGTGTATAGTGTGTTGTATTACAACTTTTTTCTGTGCGCGTGTATGATTATGAGTGCCGTATGTAAGGGCACTATACTGGGTTCTGCAACTTGTCTCTGCTCAGATATTTTTGCTAAGCGTTTTGATTTTGGGTTCTATTTCTTGCAATGGGTCTCCAAGAACAAGTTCCTGCTCGCATTTCATGAGGAGTAGACTATACAGTACACTGCGCCACCCAAACTCGAAATCTCATTGGTTCGGCCTTGCCCCCCACGACATAGATGTAGATATGTAATTATGGGAGTTTCCCAAAATTGGGGTGCCTTGTTTTGGGGGTCCTTATAATAAGGATCCTACGGATTTAGGGTACTATATTAAGGTCTCCTATTTTCGGAAACTCCCATATGGAGCCTCGCACCCAATTCCGTTCTCTAGAGTCCACTTTCGGCACTTGTACCCTAAACCCTAAACCCTAAACCCTTAACCCTAAACCCTAAACCCTAAACCCTAACTTGTGCAGGCATATCCTGACATGCACTGCCGAATCACTGGCTCCCATGCTGGCCGGGCGCAATGTGCGGCACCCGGGAGTGGTTGACCCTCCGAAGCCCCAAAGCCCAAAACCCCCGCAAAAGCCTTACACCATAGTCTCCTTAGGAGTAATTTGTTTTTGAATCTTTGTGTTATACATATGTATATATATATATATATATATACATGTATAAATTTTGTGTTTAAAACCCAAGAGAATCTTAAACATACTGTTTTTGTTATGGCTCTATGGGGCTATAGTACAAAGCTTAAAAGCCGAAATCTTGGAGCTTCCATCACTTAGAGCTTCCCTGACAAGCTCCCCTTTGAATCGCTGCGTCATCGTGAAGAAGCAGAACCCATAAGATCAGAAACCCTGCGGTTATTTTACGGTTTAGGATTTATACTGTAAGGCTTGGGGTATTGGGTTTAGGATTTATACTGTAAGGCTTGGGGTATTGGGTTTAGGATTTATACTGTAAGGCTTGGGGTATTGGGTTTAGGATTTATAGTGCCGGGTCTAGTGTTGGTTTAGTTGGTGGCGCGTGCGCCGGGTCCCTGGTGTTAACCTGCTGTTTTGGGAGGTTTCGGGGATAGCAATGCTTTAGGGGGGGGGGGGGGGGGGGGGGGGCAGTGACGACGTTCTACGACCGCACACAAATGTAAAGGTCGCACACATATGCAAGGGTCGTCGACAAATGCTCATGTGTATGTAGCGTTTGAGATCTATGTGGTGTTCATGACATAGAAGAACTAGAAGGCGCATTCAACATGCTTTTCATCAGAGACTCATGAGGCATTTTAGGCACTGTGCAAGTGTTCCATGTAGGCTCCGCCCGGTGCATGTGTTGTGTCTTATATGTAGTATGTGCCTAAAATGCCTTTTGAGTCTCTGATGTAATTTCATGTTGTATGTGCCTTCTATACTTTATATGTCATGAATACCACATCGGAAGTTACATACGCATGAACCTATATCGGAGACCCTTACATATGTGTGTATGATGCCCGAACCTTGCCCCAGAGCTCCCTGCCTTGGCCGCAAGTTCTAGAACTTACAATGCTTCAACTTCACTTGTCGGTTCAGGTCGTTGATTGGTTTTTAGGGTTTTTTCAAAACCCATTTTTGCTAAGAAACTAGCTTCTTACCTAGGCAGTATTGCAATTCGTACCTCACATCGCTACCAGGGTCCTGGTGGGCGCGTGACCGTTTAGTTAGGGCTTATAGGGTGTAGGGCTTCAAGCTTACCGCCAAAGCGGTTGTACAGTCTAGGTAGGCTTGTTTCGTCGGATAGGCAGAGGCCGTTCTTGTACCAAAAAAGCCTCCAATGCCCTACTACACCATAAGTGCTGAGCCCCAAGCCCTAAACCACCCAGGCTACGAGAAGTGGTGGCGCTTCTTCGACACGGCCGTGGAAGATGGCGAATTCCTCGGGGAGGCATGGGTCTCGGTGTGCGAAATGCATGTTTTTTCAACTTTGTTTGCGTGCCAGAGTTCGTTGCAATAGTTACATGCACACGCACATATATATATATATATATATATACATACACACACATGTTACATATACAGCATAGCTACATAAACATCTAGATCTTCAACCATATCTATATGTATATCTATGTTTATATCTATGTCGAAATCTATATCGGAATAGTGTATTTTGACTTGGGCACAAGAGATACTCGAGGACAACGAAGACAAGACGTTAGAAGCAGCAGCGCAGTATAGCACATTTGCGAGTGTGGGGCTTTAGGGGTTGAGAAGTTTAGGGGTTTAGGGGCTTTAGGGGTTTAGGGGACGAATAATGGTTGCAGCAGTAGCAGTGGCCGCAGCAGCAGCAGTAGCAGACGCAGTCGCAGTAGCAGTAGTCGTCGTAGCAGTAGTACTTGTTGTAGTAGTAGTAGCAGTAGTAGTAGCGGTAGTAGTAGTGGTAGTAGTAGTAGTAGTAGTAGCAGTAGTAGTAGTCGTAGTCGTCTGTAGTGGTAGTAGTAGTAGTAGTAGTAGTAGTAGTAGTAGTAGTAGTAGTAGTAGTAGTAGTAGTAGTCGTAGTAGTAGCCGTAGTAGCCGTAGTAGCCGTAGTAGTGGTAGTGGTAGTGGTAGTGGTAGTGGTAGTGGTAGTGGTAGTGGTAGTAGTAGTAGTAGTAGTAGTAGCAGTAGTAGCAGTAGTAGCAGTAGTAGCAGCAGTAGCAGTAGTAGCAGTAGTAGCAGCAGCAGCAGTGGTAGTGGCAGTGGCAGTGGCAGCAGCCGCAGCAGCAGCGGCAGCGGCAGCAGCAGCGGCAAGTAGTAGTGGTTAACAGGTTTACTTACCAACAGTAACGGCATGCATAGTCGAAGTACATATTCGCCAGAATAGTATTAGTAGTAGTAAGAGTACGAAGATACTGAGAGATGAAACCAAAGAGTCACCGCTAAACCCCATGGCATTCCGGGCACTTAAGCATCATTAGCGTACTTGGTGGGTGCATGAATTTCTCTCTGCAGCCGGCTATCCTCATCCCTATATATGCCCTAAACCCCTAACCCCAGTAAATCCTACAATCCAGAAGCCCGAAAACACCATAGCCTCAAACCGTAACTTCCTAAACCCCGAGACCCTAAAACACTAAATCACCAACATCCTGAAACCTCAGGAGCATATAAAGGGAACTCCAGAAAGTTGGAATATGGTTTCATGGTAGGATACCCTATAATTTACCTTAGAAGGGTTAGGATAATCATATTCCAACTTTCTGGCTTCTACTGTAGTACCCTGAAGGCTTAACGGAATTGGTACAGGAATCCCAAAAGGAATCCTTGACAAGATCCACAGGATATCGCCTTTTGCCGGTTGTGGCGGAATGCCGGGGGCACTCTTTGGGCCGATCTCGGCGTGCCGGGCTCAGCAGGGCCTCGGAGTGTTGTCCAGAGGTTTAGGGGTTTAGGGCTTCAGGGTTGCGGGGTTTCTGGTCGGAGGTTTAGAGGTTTTGGATTTAGAGTCTGAGGTTTATTTATTTTTTTTGGAGGGGGGGGGGGTTAGGGCTTAAGGTGCAGGTTTTAGTGCTTATGATTCTTGGAAAAGGTTGCATAACTTGCTGGAGGGGCATCATAAGTTGTCTACGAGGGTTCCCTGAAAGTTCTTGGAAGGGGTGTAGGGTTTGAGGTTCCAGGGCCGTCTGCCGGCAAGGACATGCAAAATGCTCTTCCTTGTACTCCAAGTCCTTCGGGTTGAGGGTTTGGGGTCTTCGCCAACGAAAGACCGGCTAGTTCGACAAGACTTTCATCCCCTCTGATGTATAACTGGGGTGTCGATTCATGACGAGGGCTGAGGGTTCCTTACCATAGCTATACGATAGTACACCTCAAGACCCTATTCTTACTATTGAGGCCTCTACATTATAGTACCCTTACAGATCCCTTATAGTAACCCTAATAGACCCCTTTAAAGGAACCCTATTCTAATTATTGAGGCTACAATGACTAGGCAGCGCCGTCTGTTGCCTTAAGCCAAGGTCCCCGAGAAGCTTCCTTGTGTCGTCTTTTCCTTTGGGGGACTCCTGGTCAGAGCTGCAGAATCGGATACAGTAAGGGGTATGCTGACTGTCCAGGGGATACTGGAGGACAGTGCGAAATCAATGGTCTTGTGACAGTGTCGTTTAGAAGCGACTCTAAACTCTAAACCCTAAACCAATTCTGAAAGGAATTCTTCAAGGAATCCCTTGAAGGAAGCTGCGATGAAGCGTTCAAACAAACATTTGACCCCAAAGGAGCCCGCTTCAAGAAGCCCTCCAAGGAGGCCCTTGAAGGAAACCCTTAAAGGAACCTCCCGACCCCTCAAGGCTACGATGACCCATGTGGGGCGCTACGCTTACATGGGGAACATGCCGGGCACCTGTCGTGGTTTGGGATTCAGGGCATACTTTGTCATAGTTGGGTACCATTTTACATGTTTATGGGTACTTGATCCCAATAAGGAATAAACATGTAAATTTTTAATTCTATCCCAACAATGAACTAGCATAGGGGTTATGGTTTGCGGCCTCGGGGTTTCAGGGTTTAGGATTTCGGTTCTCGGGTTTAGAGTTTCGGGCATCGGCTTCGGAGAAAAGAACGATGTAGTTGCTATCCTGGGGTGGCGAAGGTTGAAGATGATTGATCTGCGTAGTAGGTGTCGTGTCGTCTGTGATACTGCTGATGGACAAAATCCTGCATGATCCATTCTAAGGAATATACCATAGTTCCCATAGTTTAGAGTCCTTAGGGTCATGCAGGATTTTGTCCATCAGCAGTATCTCGGATCTTTTGAGCAGGAGGTTTGGGATATTCCTCAGTGCCCAGGTGGTTTGGAGTAGGGGGAAGTTCGTTTAGTCAGGGGTTTGTTTTGTTGCTTGGGGTCATGCGTTTCAAGTTACCCCTGCGACCTCAAACCTTGGGACGGCGAAGAAGCATGCAAAAGCCCTAGATGCAGAGGCCTTGATTGCCAGATAAACTGGACGAAGGGACACGCACAGAAGCCTTGCGTGAATCCCAAACACTAAATTTCCACCTTCAGCTCTGACACAATTGAGGCCGGACATGAGACCTAACTCTTTCTCAAAGACTCCCAAACTACCATACTTCAGGAGCATATTGAATAGACTTTAAGCATTCAAAACTGCAGTAAGTAGGGATCCTTCCTAAATCCTAAACCCTAAATCCTGAATCTGGGATCCTTAAAGTAAGTGTTGCTGAACCTGGATAGATCCTCTTGTCAACCTCAGTATGGTGTAGTCTTAATGGCTCGAATAGGACTTACGACGTTAACAGTAACTCTTACGAAGAAGTCAGACGCATAGGTTTTATGGCGTGTCATGAAGAGGGAACAACACTTACAGCTTCTGACAGCTTAGACAAGCCCCCAAGGCAGGTTTATAGCCCAGAAGCCCCAAAGCCCAAACCAAGCGACATGTGGGAGTTTCCGAAAATAGGGGACGTCAATATAGTACCCTAAATAGTAGGACTCTTATCATAAGGACCCCCAAATAAGGTGCCCCTAATTAATTTTCGGAAACTCCATGTAATAATGGCCTAAGAACCCGGCCAACGACTCATAAGAACTTTTACAAATACCTCTAGAGGAGACCGGCAAGAACCTTACAAGAACCCTGCAGACCATAGCACTCTACGGGAGCTGCGTGCAAGAGGTCTGCAAGAGCCCTAGAACGACTTTCTGAGAACTTTATTCAAATCGAAAGATTCCGAAGTCTAAAGAGGTCAAAGATGCGACGATAAGACCACCGGAAGAGACTCATCCCAAGCCTAAAAAAAGAAACTGCTCTACTTTGGCCCCAGACCCTGTGCTAAACCCCAAACCTACAGTACACCCTCGACCTGTTTAATGTCCAAGGGTAAAAGGAGGGACCCTTAATGAGGACCCCTAGGTATCTACCCTTTAATATAGCTATTGTATACCCATTATATAGCCCATTATAGGGTAGGGGTCCCCCTTAAGGGTCCCTCCTCTTCCCCTTTGATTTAAAGTCTTTCGGAGTCTCCACGAGGTTGGAAGGAGGGCCTCTGGAAGACCTTTGCCCCAAATGAGCCTCGGCGTAGTGAGCAGCAGCAGAAACTGGCCCCTGCGAGGCCCTTTAAAGGAGGCGTATAAATAAAAACGGGAAACCCCGAACCTTTACCCTAACGCCCCCCAAAACCCCCTGTGTACCCCCTACAGCAGGCCTCCTTTCTTGAGCCCTTATAGCCGCCTGTGTTGCTTGCCGGCTGGATTGGACCCAAAGTTGGCCCATGAGAAGCGGCAGAGAAAACCGGCAGTGTATCGTCTAGGGTTCAGGGTTTAGTGTTTAGGGTTCCAGGGTTTAGGGTTTAAGGTTTAGGGTTTAGTGATCATCACTAGGTTCCTGACTGGTACCCTTTTAAAGGGGTAGGGGTTTAGGGTCTACCAGGTTAGTGGTACCCTTTTGCCCCTTTTTGTTTTAGGGGCCCCTTATTACAGCCGAATAGTATGAACAAGGGTGCCCGGGCTTTCAGCGGTCTACTGAAAGCTTCGATTAAAAGGGGTATTAGAAGGGCTCTAGAAAGTACGTACTATAGGGGTATAGCATTCAGGCAGTGCCCTTCCAGGTACGACCTCCCAGCAACTTTACGGTGTGTTGAGCTGAACTTGGACTCAACCTCTCATGTTGGAAGAATTTCAAAAAGCCCGAAGATCTCTGAAGGACTCTAGGCCAGTGACCGTTAGGCCTTGATAGTGAGAAGAGGAGAGAGTGCAGCAACATTCTTCACGTCTTCACGTGGTGCGGAGAGGGACCTTGATACTGAGAGTAGGGCTTAGGGAGGTATTACAGGTATTTTGTACTAGAACTATGTTTAAGAGCCCGGTCAGTGCGCAGAAAGAAGCCGCGACCAAGTCAATTCAGGCTCCAGGCGTATGCGCGTTCTTTAAGAAGGTTTCGATGTCTGGGTGGGGTTTCCATAAATTGTGCTGTATATGCATTCTATATGGGCTCCGCAAGGGTGTCTACAAGGAGTTCTATGTTGACCTCGATGCGTATAGATACAGGTGGGAGGGGCAACACGGTTTTGGAAGATGCACGTGAATGAAATGTGGCGAGCTGTTCCGACCAGTTGTGCCTGCAGATTTGCCGCAGAACAGTTGGGAGTTTCGGACTGCGGAATTGAGTAAACAAAACAGAAATAATTACCTACCACTACTATTTGGAGGTTCCTTATTACAATTATAGTATAATGGGCTCCAAAACCCTATTCTATTTTTAAAGGCCCCTGTATTGGCTATCACGTTCGAGGCAATGCCCCTCCAGCCGAGTTTTGCTGCATGGCTTACCTGAAGGCGTGCAGGTCATCTGCTGCCTCTTTTCATGGCGCCAGGGGATGCTCCAACATCCGACAGATCGAGGCAACTAGTTCCCCCAGGAGTGGCCTTTTGCGTTTTTCATCTCGGGCATTCGTTTTTAAGATAACTGAACACTATAGGAGCAATGGTAGCCCTCTGACGGCACCAAGGAAATATACCTTCGCCGCGCTTCGACGCCTAAAGCGACGAATCAGGAGGATATGGTCAGTGACTGCGCTCATCTGTATACAGGGCTGTATATATAGATATACACACATACCTTCAGTCGTTTTCTTTTGAAGGGCTTGTCTTGTTTTCAAGGGTTTGGAAGAGGATGTTATGGGGGTTTTAAAGGATGTTTCTCGGAGTTAAAAATCCTGGCGCTTGCTTCAAAAATCGAAACAAGCCTTAAACCGCTGAAGCACCAGACCACAGGGACAAGAAGCCAAGGTGAATACCGGCGGAAGGAAGGACAGATCTGGCCCGTGCTGAGAGCAACTGCAGGAAGCCGCACCACCTTTATTATTATTATCATACATTATACAGGCTTGCTTATTGTTTTCTTTTTTGTTAAACTGTTTTTTTGGTTTAGGGGCCTTGAAGGTTTTTGGGTGGTTTTAGGATCAGAGTTAGGCGCTGCAGAGGATTTTTGATAAGGGCTCTGCAGGAACTGGCGATCCATGGCGTGTGAGGGCGTGGATGGCCAGAGCTGCTGACTGCGGAACACCACTGGGGGTCACAAGGCCGCTCTTCAGTTGTTTTCGAAGACTTAGCTTAGGGGTACTTAGAAATATTTTTTGAATTTTTGGTTATTATAATCCCTAAGAAACAGCTAAAATTGTCTAGGGTTCTAAGTTCAGTATAGTTTCGAAGAGTTAGGTCTAGAGTATACATAGTAGGTTCGTGCGATGTGACGTTAAGTTTAATGCAGCAAGTAGCATAGAGCGAGACTTGCAGTTTCAGCTGCCCTTCAAAAGGAGCCCAGGTCAGATCAGTGACTATGCTTATCCACGCCTATGCTAAAGCGGCAGATGTAGCAGGCGCACAGACGACACTGCGCGGCATGAAGCGGCAGCAGCTTCATCCCAATGCACAGGCATTCAACGGTGTTACTCGGTTCCGGAGCATCGTGCTTGATTACTTGTTGGTTTTGAAGTCCAAACCTGACCAAGCAAGGGCTCTTCTGCTTTGAGTATATACTTAAACGACCCGATAAGTTCCACACACACCTTGCAGCCCCATAGGACCCTATAAACCGGTCGTTGCTTGCGCTACGCAGGTTATGGCTGCCTGTGCAAGGGTGTCAGACATGGACAACACGCTGCACTGGCTCAAGAAGATGCAGCAGTCCTGTATAGCACCGGATGCTGTTTCCTTCCGAATCTAGGATGCCCAGTAGTACCCTTGTTCCCTTTTTGTAGTCCTAGGTTCCTTATAAAGTTACCCAATACCAAAAAGAGAGGCCGGTTTATTCTTAGGTTACTGGGTTTCCTTCCGAATCTTGCCACCTGAGATTGTACTGCGCCCCCCTCGATCCTATATTTTAGACCCCAACGCCCCAAACCCTAAACCCCACTCGAACGCTTTTAACCCGAAGCCTCCCCTCTCAAGTACCTAAATCGGTAGGTTTGTACAACACCCTGAATCCAAACTTGGGTTTCGGAGTGCTGACCCTAACTTACTGTGCTTCACACCCGACTTTCGTGCTGTGCTGCTAGCTTTTGAAGTGTGTCTTGCCTTCTTGCGTGTTGCTCCTGGCCCACTAGCAAAAACAGAAGGGCTGAATCTGAACTGGCCGTCTTTCGGGTTCGAAGAAGAAGCCACACAAAGGGCGACAGCATTAGCAACAAAAAAGACGACTCCAACTTTCAAAACGATACAGAAGCAGGACGGAACACTCAGGGATCATGAACGACATAGACTCCTGAATACTTAGTCATAGAATCTCTTCAAGCTGTCATAGGCCTTCATCTGTAAGAGCCCTTTTAGAGAGCCCTGCAAGAAACCCTTAAAAGGGGACCCTACTATAGCAACTATAGAGTCGCCCCAAGAAAGGACCCCAGCATAGAAGCCTATAGTATCCGGTTTAGGGTTTAGGGTTTAGGGTTTAGGGTTACAGGAACCCATAGAATGAGCCTCTAACGGGAGGGCTCGGCTCCGAGGAACGGTAATCTCGGCCACTGCACGAGCTGGAAACCTGGCGGTGGCTGAGGAGTGGCTTAGGACCATGGCTTCCTGGCAGCTGAATGAGTACACTTTGCACTTTTGGGGACAGCCCTAAACTCTAAACCCTAAATGCACTAAGTACACTAAATGCACTATTCATGAGAGTTTTATCGCTATAGAACTGAAAGTTTCTTTATGAATGAGTGTATGCACTTTACACTGTTGGGGAAAGCCCTGAACCCTAAACAACCCTCAACCCTAAACCCAGATCCTAAATACACTTTCGATGAGAATATTATCCGCTATAGAACTGAAAGCTTCAGTTTTCTGAGGCTTATGAACTCAGCAGCTAAGGCCTCCTTCTCCTATCCGGTGGATAAGATGCTCGGGCATAGACTTAAGTCAACGGTTTAGCATGTAGGGTTTAGGGTTGCAGCCTCTGAGGGTTTAGGGCAACAAGATGGCTTGGAGCTCTGTTTCCTTCTATGTGTGGTAACTGTGATATATATATATATATATATATATATACAGACACATATTCCTTGAACCCGAGAACCGAAATCCGACAATCTAAACCCTGAAACCCCAAAGAACCACACCCTCCCCCTGACCTTTGTACATAGGTAGATAGATAGATAGGTAGATAGAGAGATCAATACGTTGCATTTTTTGCTTTAACGATGAACACACACACACACATATATATATATATATTTTATGTATAGACATACGTACATGCATATACATACACATACATATATGTATGTAACACCAAAAACAAATGTATGTATGTATGTATGTATGTGTGTATACGCCCTACACCTTAAATTCCTAGAGCTGGCACCTGAAGCTTTCAAACGCAATCTTCATGGCAAAAGCTTTAAACTGCCTGAACCTTGAGACCTCACGCCCAAACCGTCTAAACCCTAAACACGCCTTACCTAAAAACCTGCATCCTAGGATAGCTTTCAGCTCTGTCATTGGCGGGTATGCTGCCAAGGGCGCCGCACAAAAGGCCGAGGACAGCCTTGCACCGAAAACCGGGGTGTCAACATGATGCTTTGATGGCTTAATATGGAAACGGGAACAAGAATGTAGTCATAGTATCCCATTAGAGTCCCTACATAGTTATTGTCTACAGTTATAGTCATAGTTATAGTAGAATGCCCTGTTCTACATGTTAAGGCCCCAACACTAAAGCACATTCACATTCTTATGAAACACCCTCTAAAACCCCTGTAGAACCCCGCCAAAACCCTTAGAAACCCCATTGCATGCTTTCGTACATGGAGACAATGGGCTTAAAAAAACCCGTATAGAACCCTGTTGGAACCACATGGAAACCCTTCGAAAGAACACCAAAAACAGGCTTCCATGAGACAGTGGGGCTTAAGGGCTTGGAGGGGGAGCTCGTCGTGCTCCAAAACATGCCTTAGTTTTGGGTTTAGGTGAAAACGGAGGGGTCGGACAAATTCGCGAATATTTTTTCTTGATTACGGTTCTGCATCATGAGTGCAGTTTAAAACCTTCCATCCCTGCAACCTGAGAAGAAAGGGCATGGACAAGTGGCATCGGGTTGCTTTAAGGCTTCTAGAGTGGTGGTTCCTTTAAGGGTTTTTTTGAGGGTTTCTTCCAACGAGCACCCTAATTCCTTATACCTAAACAACTGGCCAGAAGCCCTAAACCCTAAACCCTAAAATACCTTTACAACCCCCGAACGTAATATCTCCTGTAAGGCCCTCAACCCGAAAGTAGCAATACAGTCTCCATGTAGTACCGGAGTTCTACATCATGCACCCTGTACTATCTCTGAATGCCCAGTGACTTTCCTATGGAACTAGTATCCTTGCAGTGCTCCAATTATCGAACCCTTCTAGTATCCTTTATGGTACCCTTGTTGTAGTACCCTTATTATAGGACCCTTATTATAGTACCCTGTTTATAGCACTATTATTGATATTGTACCTTTACATTGTAGTACCCTTTTAGTGTAGTACCCTTATAATGTAGTATATACCCTTATTAAAGTAACCTTATTAACTATAGTACCCTTATTACAGTACCCTTTGATAGTATTATAGTACCCTTACATTGTAGTACCCTTAGTATGGTGCCCGGCCACCTCTTTTGTAGTTCTGAGAGGAGTGGCTCTCGCGGATGCTCATCGCCGGAGTACGGCCAGGAGGTCGGGATTCAGACATCCTCCGAAGGAAGGGGTTTAAGGGGTTTAGGGGGGGTTTAGGGTTTAAGGGGTTTAGGGGGCCTTTAGGGTTTTAGGGTTTAGGGGTTTTAATCTTCCACAGCTATGGGCTTAAGGGGTTTAAGATTTCTCAGGGAAAATGTCTTGGGGACTTAGGTTTATAGGGTTAAGGGGACTTTTAGGGTTGAGGGGTTTAGGGTTTCTAGGTTTTTTGGGTTTAGGGTTAAGGGGGTTTAGGGTTTCTAGGTTTTTGGGGTTTAGGGTTAAGGGGGTTTAGGGTGTCTGGTTTAGGGGTTTAGGGGTTTCAGGGTTTAGGGTTCTGGGGACTCCAGTCTATAGGGTTTCACCAAGTGGGGATGAGGGTTCAAAGTTTGAGGACTGGGGATTGGGGCTTAGGATTTAGTTTAGGGATCCCAAGGCACTGAAGTTCTGATCCAAGGCATTCTCCCCCAATCCTAAGGCACCATGAGAGTTTCGCACTGCAAGCCTTCGTAAACCTCGAAACATGGCTTATGAGTTTCCGAAAATTGGGGACCCCAATATAGTACCCTAAGTAGTAGGATCTTATTATAAGGACCCCCAGAATAAGGTACCCTAATTATCGGAAACCAACTATGTAGAGACTAACGCTGGCCTGAAGAGAAGCCCTGGGACCCTTCTTCGAAAGCCCTACTATAGAAGCCTAAATAACTACCTATATTATTCCTTAGGGTTCTTCATATTATTCCATAGGGTTCTTTATATTGTTCCTTAGGGTTCCTTATTATAGTTAGACTCTAAAGGAGCCCGAAACCCTATTCTAATTATCAAGGCCCCTACATTACAAATTGCTTCCTTTATTCAGCGCCCAAGAAGACCTTCCCAAAACCGAACCCTCACAACCCCTGAAGGGGCCCTTGCAGAACATAGAAACCCGTAAAGGAACCCTGAAGGGCATCCCTAAACCCTGCCTGGACCCTAAGGAGCCTACCTTTTTTAGGGTTCCCCAATATGGTTTCTTTATATAAGTCCCTAAAAAGGTAGGTTAATTGGGGTTGAGGTAAACCCTAAAACCCATAAACCCTAAACCCTACAACCCTAAAACCCTTAAACCCTAAACCCTAAAACCCCAAACCCCTAAACCTTAAACCCTAACCCCGAATGGCACCTTTAAGACCGGTTCTGCAAGGTCATGCCTTCAATCCGGTGGTCTGTGCGTGGGCCGGAGCCGGATCACCAAGGAGGGCTTGGGGTTTCGGGTTTTGGATTCAAGGTTTAGGATTTTGGGGTTTAGGGGCTTAGGGTTTAGGGTTTTGGATTTGAAGTTTAGGATTTTGGGGTTTAGGGGTTTGGGGTTTAGGGTTTAGGGTTTGTGTGCGCGCGGTGGGTGTACCATTTACTTTATGAATAAGGGCGAACCACTTATCGAGCGCTTGCGTGAGCATGTAGTCTCGCCCCAACCCCAACTATTCTCAATTAGGATATATCGTTCACCCCCCAAACCCCCTTCAAGGGGGTCTTTTTTCTCTGCTTCCTTTCGCTGTCCGACACATAAGCAACCACATTCCACAACAAAGCACAGCTGGGATGGCTCGGTGTCGGGTTGTGGGTCCTGGCGGCCTGTGCCGGCCGCTCGACGAAAAGTTCCATCAAACAACTCGTACCTCGCACCCCTGCTGTCGGCAGTTTAGGGTATAGCGTTCATGGTTAACGAGAGTTTTCAGGATCTGCCACTGAGGGATCTTCTTCGGAATCATGTTTCCTTCTTGCTACAACATAAACTCGCGGGATGTGTTTGAAAGAGTCTTTTTGTCATGCGCTTGAGTGGTGTAAAGCAAGGAGTCCGAAGAACATGCTAACCTTAAACCCTAAGGGTTTAGGGTTTAATTAGGGTTTGGGTTCAATGTTCCGGCTGGCAGGGTTTTGGGTGCTTTGGGTCACAAAGCTTCCGTCAAGGGGGCCTATAAAAGGGGCTTTAATGATTATCTACACTATCTTGGCGGTTCCTTGTTATAAGCAAAGTATAATGGGCCCCAAAACCT